TGATATTAATCACTGGATTGTCTGGTCCAGACTCGATTATTTACAGACCGCCGTCATATAGCTGCAATATTGCTGAGTGCGGCGTTAAACAACAAACCAACCAACCAACCAATATAAGAAACAGAACAACAGAACGTTTCGGGGTATATACTTGCTCCTTCATCATTGTGTTCCTTGTAATTAACTTGACATCCATAAATTCTCTCTCTTGATTCAAGTCGTTCAACTGCCACCTTGTTTGCGGGCTTACTGATACTTTATTATCAATCCTGTCAATTCAACGATATTTTAACTTTTGACGAGCGTCGTGTATAATTGAACCAATCACACTGTTGAAAAGTGATATTCTCAAACTGAGAAATTACCGAAAAGTTAACCCCCATCTTTTTCCCATTTGGGTATTATTTACCGTTATCAATAGGGACGTTGTTTTACTTTCACATATATTACTAAATACAACGCATACTGGAAACGGGGGACATATCGTAGTTTCTTTACAACTGCGTCAAATATATAGTGTACATTTCATTCTGTAGACAAATTCATTCTATAGACAAGGTTTGAATTTAATGACATGCTTTGTTTGATTGTTATATATATGTGTGTAATATGTGACACTAAATAAAAATTATATTCTGTCTTATTTTATCTATATATTTGAGAGTATTGTGGATTTGCGCGAAATCAGGAAACTGAGAAACCCAATTCTAGGTTAAAGTGGCTTCATTTGCATAACGGTAAAAGGTATCGAGCCTTCGTTAACCCAGGTTGTCTATATAAGTTTTAAATAGATTTTCTGTAGGGCTGGGACGAGTCCAGATTTACCACCCGGGTACCCACTGTAGGTCTGAAAGAGTTGGATACAACATGTCTGATTGGGAACTGTTTTACTGCAGCCTTGGCAAAAACTGTTTAGATACATGTATCAAACGATCAGATCATTCATACACTAAAGTTGACTGAAGCTTTGTCTTTACTCAAACATATATACGTCAAAAGGAATGTATGCATTGTCAGAAAGAAATGCCAACATTAGCGACTTGTAGCGTGACCACTGAGCTATAGTCGGTGTTTGTCATTAAATACATCACGTGACTAACCACGGGTCCGGGTAGTACTGTGGGTACCCGGGTCCTACTCAGGACCCACCCGACCGAATTCCCCGGCTAAACCACCCTCGTCTAGGATTTTTTTAAAACTTTTTAAAAAAACCCAACAGATTTCGGATTCAAATGGAATTTTAAACGATCGAATCTGAGTTCTTATGAGTAGGAGTATTTCCTTTAAAATGAATCTCTTGTCTGTATACGTTAACGGGGGGGGGGGGGGGGGGGGGAGATTTGAAAACGTAAAATCATGTATTATATAAATTTACCACATTGTTTTTGACATATAATTATGTATACACTCTGTAAACATTGACAGCATCACTATCCAACTATTCTTCCTGTCAAAAAGGTTAAAATTGCCAAAAGGAATCTAAATATGTTTTTGTTTTCTGTGAATTGGTATTTCCTTTTAAAACTGGAAATTAAAAAGCTTATTTTTACTTGTGTACGAGAGTTTCGATAAAAAGATTTAAATTCCCATAAAACGTACAAGTACTTTTTGATAGGTACGGTAAAGACACATTCATCGTTTAAAGTGTAATAAATAATTAAATCAAAACAAAACCCAGCAGGCAAAGTGGTTCATTTACGGTAATTTATAACATTGAGATATTTAAATTCTGATTTACTACCTTCTTGTTCGACGGACCTCCGTGAGAAAGGGAGACAATCCAAACAAACATGGCTGACTTGGAACAAAGAACGGACTCCCGTCGAGGTAGTTGTATTATTGTTGGTGTGTGCTTAAATCATTACACATGTGATGCAGTAAATCATTACGAGTGAGAGTCTTTAACCGTTTGACCATTTGTTGTCTCACGTGCTACTTGTGGTCGTCATTTGTCAGATAGAGTTACTTCCCTTGTCACGACTGTCATAAATCAGTTTTAGACGGACCCTCTTTGTGCCGTCACGGTTGAGGACCCGTGTTATGATACGAAACAAAAGATCTCATTAGTCTAGTTACTTTCTAATGAGTACGAAGGAAATAGTTCTACCATTACGTAAAACGTGCCATCCATATTTTTAACAGTGAAAACTGCCATGGCGGTTTTCATTTTCTGAAAGCACGTGCATTCTTGTAATTTAAGATTACACTTGTTGGATAAAATGATAAACATTAAGGATATGAACTAATTATAAGAAGTATGTTTAAAATACGCATAGTGATAACTTTTTACACCCAGATACGCGAGTCCAGGGGGCGTGCGCACACTCCGCGCTCTCTCCGAGTATTTTATTTAACAATACTAAAGATACTCGTCGCCATAGGAACTACAGGTATGTACCCCAGGTACGTTTCTGTACGCAGAAATTTACCCAAGCCAAAATCAGAATACAGTAAGATACATATCTGTACTACCTGTGCCCACAACGACGCCTTCAGCCACAGGAACTCGTTACTGGTCAGTGAGTGAGTGAGTATGGTTTTACGCCGCATTTAGCAATATTCCAGCAATATCACGGCGGGGGACACCAGAAATGGGCTTCACACATTGTACCCATGTCGGGAATCGAACCCGGGTCTTCGGCGTGACGAGCGAACGCTTTAACCACTAGGCTACCCGACCGCCCTACTGGTGAGTAAATAAATAAATAAATAAATATATATATATATTTATTTTCTACTTATATTTTGGGGTTATATATTTTTCTTTACCGTTTTCTCTGGTACAATCGGCATACCACGTCCTGTTGTTGAAGCCAATATACTAAGAGCCTTTATAGACATTTAGAACAAATTTCATAACAAAAGTAATTTCTGGGTTTGTTCGGTTTAAGGTCTGTACACACGAGGACCTGGTTGTTTACTGCGAGGGAGTGGCCAGACCGACTTAAATTTTGTCTCCCATACTGAAAGCAGATGTTCCCGAAAAGAAAATATACTCTTGAAAATTGGATTGTATCATAAACGTTAACATAGGGGGTTGGCTGTAAACAGTCGCCGAAATACTGCAAACTTGAGGTCCAAAACGCAACTTTGATACCCGTATGAAATATAAATCACCATCGAATAACCATCATGTTTGTTTCATTTTTAGCCACCATCAAACATGGGTGTATACTTTCTTTTGCCTGGCAGTGTTTTTGTAACATTTTAACGTGATTCCAGAACAGTTTGTTACCGTCATAAATATATGAATATGTTATCATTTAGGTATCTGTACATGCCTATGTTGTAACATCTCCCCAAGCTGCAGTTTTATAGCTACTGTCGCACACCAGATCCTGTCATGATATTAGCTAGCCCCTGGACAACACAGTGATTCCAAATTTAAAATATTTAATTAAAACTTTAAGATTTATTTTCTTTCATTAAAACACTCATGCAGTGTTTCCCGTATAAATGTTACTTTCTTTCAATTGTCAAATTAGCCAGATTGGTCTTCAGGGCAGTCTGTCACATGAATTGTCAAATGTTTATGAAATTTGTAGGTTTGCCTGAACCTAAGTCAATTCGTATTGATCTGATGGAATAATCATTTGTTTAAAGGCCGTAGTTAACTTCAAATATTTGTACAAGTATCACTTGTCCCCAACTTGATTCAAATAAAACTGTTTTCTATAAAAAAAAATCCAGGGGGACAACTGTGTCAATGTGTAAAATCAGTCAATGTATATAATGACTGACAATTTACGTAGGCAATTCACAAAACGCCTAAACATTTCAGTTATTTTACAACTGGGAGTGGATGGGGGTTTGGGCCGGGGTATTCTAATACACAGTTTGTAAAATGATTTAAATATTTTGGCATTTTATTAATTCCTAAGTAAATCACATTTAAAACATTGATTTCACAGCTTGACTGTAACATGCATACATTGTACATATTATGTTTAAAGCTAAGTTTAAAAATATACCATAATCATTTACATATAACCATAACTGAAAATAGACAGCGACGTAATAAAATAGACTATCAATATCTGCCTCAGTGAAGCCTCTATTGTCCTGCTGTATAAGGCTTCACATCTCTGGGCATACTTTGAACAGGTCATGCTTTCCTATTCAAGTACGTAACAACTGACCGGACAGGCTATTAACAACAGACTACATATGTCTATTTGAAATCTTGGAATGCAAATTATGCAATTCAACATTTCACGCTTGACAGCTATTGAAACAGGTGCGTCACCCCCAGGCACCTATCGAGCCATATAAGGTAGTAATAATACATACCAAGCGATAAATATAAACGTTTATTTCCTTAATATATTGGATCAAAGATTGTATTATAAATCAGTAGTTTAGTCCTTCATTTACTTATTTATATCAAAATAATATCATATAACATTGTCTTTGTCTACATTTATATTTGATAGCATATTTTCATTTATTATATTTATCGACTGTAATAGATACTACTTTCTTAAACATAATCGTTATAATGTAGCCATCGCTGTCATTCGACACAAGACGCCATAGCATATAAAATATTACAAACTTTCCGTGTTATCATCACAATCAATTATATATATTTGTCTTTTGCAAAGAAATAAGATGTTAGAGAAAGAGGAATACTTAATGTTTTACATTCATGTTATAATCAAAATCAATTTAAGGAACGAAACATCGAGAAAAACGCGAGCCCTTGTCATTTGGAATATCCAGCAGAATAGAATATACGTCCATGAATATAGCAGCATGAGCTGAGATTGTAAAATAACAATAGTTACTGTTCACATTGCTCTAAAACAGAAAATATGTTCTTTCTTCTTATATTTCGCCCAGCAATGTTTTAAGGTTCCGGTGTCTCAGCTATTAAAATGTCACACGTTTTTGTATGGTAAGTTTTTCGTGTAATTACCATCACACTGAACATACTGACGCAATGACGTAAATTGTGTTGATTATGTTGGAGAACGAAACACTAGCGCAGTTTGAGATTCATCTGAAGCCGTGATACAGCGAACATCTTGAAATTAGTTGTGGTGCCAGTAGTATATAAGAACCTGTACATACCGGAAGTAAAGTGATTCATCCTTCATTGTAGAGTTCAAAATGGTGAGTAGACGTGACTATAGAGAAAGATTTCGTTTTATTAGATATATACGATCGTATTATTGTTGTCATGAACATGCACGGTGTTAAATTTGCTCCTTATCTTTCTTTTAGGCGAAACTTTCGGAAGATCAGATCATTGGTAAGTAGACACCCCTCATCCGAATATTACGACTTGTCCAGGTCCTGGTGTCAGCCGTTGCAAATATCTAGGCCGCGTTTTCATATCGGAAAACTAATGAGTGTTTGGGGTAATGGAGTTATATCCAATGTAAAAATAAATCCAATGTTTCAATGGGCATCTTTAGGGAATCGCGAGTTAGTTTAGATAAACGTAAATATCGATACACGTCTGGTATGTAAACAGGTAAACAACAATAAAAGTAGTCAAGAGACCACACCCATTTTCCTGTTGACGGGAAAAGAACAATCCTTACCTGTTACGCATGCTATTTTCTAGCCCTTTGTTACAACTATATGTGCATTGTCCGGCATAATATCAGGCTAGGCTTTCATATCAACTATTCTCTTCGACCTGATATTAATTTGTAGTTTGATGGTCATGTGGGAAAAGGACATGGCGGTCTTCTGGTCTATCAACTTAAGAACTTATGATGTGACATGTTATGATGAGAAGATGGTAAATCCCCACACCCCACACATCCCTACATTAATGATTTTTTATGCTTCTATGTTCTAGCCAGGGGTTTTGATTTATACAAATGTTGATGCAGTGGGTTACATGCAGAAGTTTTACCCTTGACCCTTATGCATTTCTGTCATAAGATAGTTAATTCAACAATTGAAATGTTTTGCATCATTACACTGCTGCAGATTATAAGGCTTATTAGAATGCATTTCTTATTTTTCATGAACTGCCCACCCACAAAACTTATTAATATGTTAAGCGCTGTCTTGAAAACAACATTTTCAACTCGGCCAGATTCCAACTTTTAGCACCTCCAGCAAAGTGAGGTCATAATCTACATTAGGATCAAGTTGTTGTTTTTTAGATTTATAACCTACTGAACATGCTGAAGAAAGTAAACAAGAATTCAAATTCTCCCTATGCAGTAAGTTTGGGAAAAAGTCATAAGAAACATGTAGGCCCCGTATGTTTTCTACTGGACTGTTACATTTCTAGAGGGACTGACCAGTCAGGGTGGTCACTTCTAACTACAAAACCTTGGTCACTGAAGTGCACATTGAAAAATATTGCATGCCCTGTGTACTGGTGTCACCATTCAGTGAGCGTTTTACTGATTCATGGTTACTTTATATTTTAATTTTTACCTTATCCTGCATTACTCCTTAATGCATTTACTGCTTTTTTTTAAACAGGATATGTTAAACTTTTTGTAAACGTAAACTTTTTTGTAAATGTAAACTTCTTTGTATTTATTTTACTAGTATTAGACAAGTACAATTTATAACTTTTTGTCTTTTCTAAGATGTGTTTGCATATATTTGATAACAAAAAGGGCACCAAGTGTTTAAAAACAGGTCTGAAATTTTGTAATTGAATTCCAACACAGAGTAATTGAAATTGAACCCTCGAAGAATCAAGAACTAGAGATCCCCTGACTGCTGACACAGAGTACATTGTACACCAACATGTATAGCTTGTCTGGAAGAATCAATGTTTGTATTTTCAGAAATCCAGGAGACTTTCAACCTGTTTGACCAGCGGGGAGATAACAAGATAGCAGCACACCAGCTGGGTGATGTTCTCCGTGCCCTGCAACAGAACCCCACAGAGAGTGAGATCAAGAAGTGTGGATATGCCTCCAACCCAGGTACCATACTAATGAGAGACTGTGAACTGGTGTTAAGTCGACTGTGTGCCACACTCCAGCACAGTGGTGACTTAGCATAACACCACTGCCATGGGCTAATTTGCATATCTCGTGTCCGGACTTTTCTCTTGTTTGTAAACAAACATGCTTTTTCCGAAATCAGAATAAAATGGACTAATACAAGTATTTAGGGGCGCTTTACATATTGTTTTGCATAATTATATAAATATGCTACTGCAACTGCGACAGAGAGTTGCATGACAATACATATTTATACATCAAAGTGACCGTACAGCTAGCTTTTTGTAGGGCCTCGATGACAGCACGTGGAGCTGTACAACCAATGTAAACATAGGATAACTACGCAAATGGAAATAGTTTTTCACAATTTAGGATACTTTCTCAACGAAAGATAACCATTTATCTAGATATGTAGACTTGTCAAAAATGAAACAGATGAAAAACATATACAATATCTTGAATGGACTGTAAGATGTGACGAATTGTCACATGGCGCTGGCCTGTGGCAAAGGTACTATGCTGGTCGCATGGAACTCTGGGTAAGTTTAGTAATGTCAGCTATTTTCTTGGTTCCTTTGATTGGCAGCTCTAGAACTCACAGGAAACACTTGCTGTAAAAGATTAAGGGTACACAGGAACTTTGACTGGTACTCTGCATGTGTGGAATAAGTAGAAAATGGTATATAAGTGAAACAGAGTGAATCATTCTGAAAGTGATTTTTCAAAGCGGGTATAAATGTGTTATGATCATAATACTCCATTCAAATGACTGGACCCGTGAAGATCCGGGTTAGAATAGGTCTTCAGCAACCAATGCTTGCCGTAAAAGGCGACTGTGCTTGTTGTAAGAAGCGGCTAACAGTATTGGGTGGTCAGCCTTGTTGACTTGGTTGATGCATGTCATTGTATCCCAATTGCATGGATTGATGCTCATGATGTCAATCACTGGACTGTCTGGTCCAGACTTAATTATTTACAGACCGCTGTCATATAGCTAGAATGTTGCTGAGTGCGGCGTTAAACAACAAACAAACAAAATATGACTGAAGTCTGATAACTTCACAGTTGGTACAGGAACACAGGTGGCCCAGTCCTCTAAGGCACCGTGATTTGCTGTGCAGAGTTGCGTCCCTTGGAGACGCCAGAAACCTATGTTTGTGGGTTCTAATCCCGGTTTGCCCTGATTATGTTTCTTGCTTTGTCAGCACCATACATGTGCTCATGTGTTTCATAAAAGGTGGTAAAAGGCTGTGATATAATTGGAGTACTGTTCAAAGTAGCATTAATCCCAACTCACTCACTCACTCTCATTTGGTTTAATGGTCAACATTACTGCTTGCCTCACATCAGTTTCAAGCCAGTTTGCACTGGACATTTCAGATGCTCGTATCTCCTTCGAGGTGTTCCTCCCCATCTGGCAGACAGTCTCCAAGAACCGCACAGTTCCACCTCTAGAAGACTTCATTGAAGGCTTCCGGGTGTTTGATAAGGACCAGAACTTCTACATCTCAAGTGCAGAATTGAGACATATACTCACATCATTAGGTAAATGCATTGTATATTGTATTATATATTGGTCGAGGGGGGGCACTTACGGGAGCAGTGTGCTTAATACAGAGGATATGGTACAGTCAGCACTGTTCAAAATTATCTAGACCTATACCTCATAACCTGAAAATATATGTTCAATATTTAGGGGTTTCCTAGGTTCATATAGCACAGAAGAAGACCTTAAGGGCTCTAGAGTTCCTAGATCATGAACACTGGTCTGCTTTTACCTTGGTCATCACACCTGTGGTTGTAACCCAACAGAATGGATTGACCTAAATACTGCTTTCCACAAGTCTGCCTGTTCCAGGCCTTGCTTTGAAGACTAATGTTAGTGACAAGCGCTTACGGTCAAGGGGAGATAACTCTAGATACATGAAGTGATAACGAATGTAAACACTGTCAGTGTGGGGAAATTCTAATATTGCAAAGTAACTGGTAAGTAATGGCAAGCGATTGTATGTTTGATACATGTTGCTAGGATATCTGGTTGGGTTGTGAGGATGTAAGTTTGAGTCTGTATCTTGAATAAACAAGCCATGTTGTAACGGGCTGTGTTACGATCTTCCAATGGGTACAACACTGACACCTTGATGTGACTTTCTGTCACCTCACTGGCTGTAGATGCTGACGGATGTGAATGTTTGTTGCAGGGGAGAAGTTGTCCGATGATGAGGTTGACCAGCTGTTCCAGGGACAAGAGGATGCACAGGGAAATATCAACTATGAAGGTCAGTAAAGGATTAGACTCCCAGCCACAACACACCAGGGATGACTCAGAGTGAATTTGTGGGCCATCTGCATCTTTCATTATAGTGCGGAACGTCTGTTGGTGTTTTTTCAACATGCAAATCCTAGATCAGGGATAGCCACAGCTATGACACTGTGTTATTTGACATGGAACAATGCCAGTGCGCTTGTGAGATGATTGTAATGGTGTCTGTGTAGTTGAATGATAAGTACGACTGTACAGTGGTACCATTAAACCGCGATACAGACCTTCAACACTACGTATTGTTAAATACTGTCTAAGTTTGTCAGTATATTGATACAATACGTAAATGAGTATTTCTTTGGCTTTTGCCATTAATGAAATACATTAAAATGTTCCTAATCTCAAACAAATACTTATTCTAGTGGTATTTGTCACTGTGTAACGTCCCTTGAGGAAGTGTCACTGATGAAGACTCTTGAAGATCATTCCCATCCAAAGGGCAAATGCTGACATATGGCACTATTTTGGTCTTACAAAATGAAGGGCAATCCAAAAGTAGAGGAAACTATGACAGTATATTAATCGCAATATGTTGCAATATGAATCACAATACAAGCCTAGGTATCCTAATATATTGCAGTACAAAATACCAAGCGATACAGAGACGATTAGACTCTTGTCTGCAAGGAAACTTGGTAACTAGGGTAATATGTGCTTCTCATAAGAGGCGACTTTAGGTGGATTGGGTACTCATTCTTGGTGACCTTGATAGCTTGTCATCATACCAGGTGGAGTGAAATGTTGCTCATCATATCAATCACTGGTTTGTCTGGTCCATGGCGCCATGTCATAGTATCCCAATTGCGTAGGTTGATGCTCATGATTTCGATCATTTGATTGTCTGGACCAGACTCAATTATTTACTGACTGTCGCCATGACTGAAATATTACTGATTGCGACATGATACAACAAACAGAACTGACTTACGTGGGTAGAGTTGTCTCACCTGAATTTCTGGTAGATTTGCCATCTCACTGGGGAAAAACATGGCATTGTAACATAGTTTTTGTCGATATAATCAGGTTCTAGGGTAGAAGTCCGAATGAGAGATAACTGAGATGAAGATCAGTTTTGCATATTATATACCAGATTGTGTGTCATTGGAAGTATCCAAAAATTTAATTATGTAGTGGTGATTTATCTTGCATATAATTATTGTACACAAATACAGTAGAACATGGATAGAGCAAACAAACGGATACAACGAACTGTTAAAAAATCCCTGATTTATCTCCTATATAATACCATATAAAATTTACAAACTCTCTATGGCGAACTGATATCTGATCACTGACAAGCCCATCTACCACTAATTAGTGACGTGTACAGCGAACTGACAAATCACACTCAGCCGTGAATCAACGGTGACGGTTCAACCTTGTTAAACTTGCATTATGTTAATCTTTAATACCTGTACATGTAATTGGACTAATCTTGTCTGTAAAACAAACATTAAACATATAATCTTTACAAGATTGTGTCAAAGTGTCAGGTTTTCTTGCAAGATACGAGCATACATGCAGCATATGCAACATAAGATGGCGGACGTTTCCGAGCAAAAACGTATATAACGAGCTGATTTCTCTGGTCCCTTGTAGTTCGTTATATCCATGTTCTACTGTACATAGCTCATAGGGAGCTCTGCTGTTATGAATATATAGCCGTCTTGTAGCCACACATTTAATTTGTCGACAGATTTCATCAAGATGGTCATGAACGGATGAGCTTCTATGGATGGCTGCTGAAGATTGATGGAAGTCAACATCCTGCCCAATTCAAGTGCAGTTCGGACATCAACGCTCATCTCAAATTGAGATACACTCAAGGGCATAGTGGAGACTTTGAATGTATTGTAAATACTTAGACTGTAAAACAAGAGAAACACCCAGCATCAATAAAACATCATTAACACAATGCATTGTCAAAGAATGAGACAATCTGACACGAACAGTCTTCTGGATCATTCTTGTTGTAATTGTTTTCAAATATCATGTCCACAAAATTGATTCGTTTTTAGCGCTGTTACTGAAAGCTTTGTGTTGGTGCTCAAATCGAACATATTTTCCAGAACCTTTGCTATTTGGCTTTGACTGATTTTCTTGTTTTGCAGTTTATGTTAGGTTTGTGTTCATTATTCCACCATTTATCACTTATGCTTGTGCAACTTCCATGTGCATGACGCTATACTCTCTTGACCAATATTTCCTAACCATGTTGCAATCTCCAATTGCTAAGTTCAAAATTGTATGACATGTCTTTCATTGTGGTACTGATACATGTGTATTTACTAAAACATTGAATTGACATCCATTCTCCCTTTAAACAAGCTTTATTGGACAGCATCCATATTTTCATTGTCGGCAGTGTTCCTTCCATGCAATGGATGAGTTAGTTTATGTGTCATGTTTCGCTTTCATGGCTTGTGCAGTATTGAAACAATAAAGAATATTCTTGTGATATTTCAATGTTTCATCCCATTTTTAAAAGAATGACCTCATTTTCGAAAAGTTGATAAGTGCTGAAATGCAAGAACTAGGTAAGGAAACATTTATATACATTTAATGCTATATTTATACCTGGTATATATCATTCCATACATTTGTAGATGTTAGAATAAAGGCATTATTAGAAGAAATGTTTTGTGTATTGGATTCTGTAGCCCTGACAGATTTCAACATTAGGAGTTGTTTGTTGTAAGATGCAGAGAGACCTGAAATTGAAGGAGTATTGCTAAAAGAGTCATACTTATTAACACCCTTGAAGTATTTTTCGTCTTTTAAAAAGATGAAAATCAAATGCATAAAGCTCTTTCTCATATCTGAGTAGGGGCGGTCGGGTAGCCTAGTGGTTGAAGCGTTGGCTCGTCAAGTCGAAGACCCGGGTTCGATTCCCGACATGGGTACAATGTGTGAAGCCCATTTCTGGTGTCCCCCGCCGTGATATTGCTGGAATATTGCTAAAAGCGGCGTAAAACCATACTCACTCACTCACTCACTCACTCATATCTGAGTAGATGTTGGGAGGGGCGGGATGCAAATGAAGCGTGCTGCTCCTAATGAAATGTAGCCCACGTCTTCAGCAACCCATGCTTGCCATAAGAGGTGACTATGTTTGCCGTAATCATGGTGTGTATCATAACTGATTTGACTAGGACCCATGAAGATCCGGCTTAGTATTGGTCTTCAGAATCCCATGCTTGTCAATAGATGTGACCAAAAGGATCGGTGGTCAGGCTCCCTGATTTGGTTGACGCAGGTCATCGTATCCCAATTGCATAGATCTGTGCTCATGATGCCGATCACTGGATTGTCTGGTCTGTATTCGATTATTTACAGTTATTTAGCTGGAATATTGCTGACGTTAAAAAATAAACAAGAAATTGTGGGCTAACTGATACATCACATTCATTAATGGGGAAGTTGGAGAGTCAAAAGGCACAATTATTCGCTGTGAAGAGTTTGGTCCTATTGTGCACAGGCATGCCATCATAGATTCGTGTTGATTAAGATTCTTGGTTTGTCAGCACTGTTCCATGCCATCGCTGTCCCTTGCCCTCGGTTTCACGTAGTGAGTGAGTGAGTGTGGTTTTACGCCGCTCTTAGCAATATTTCAGCAATATCACGACGGGGGATACCAGAGATGGGCATCACACATTGTACCCATGTCGGGGATCGAACCTGGGTCTTCGGCGTGACGAGCGAACGCTTTAACCACTAGGCTCTCCGACCGCCCATCTGTTTCACTAAGGATGCGGTGCATTACTTCAGCCTTTGTCTCTCAATCAGCAGATATGACTGATACACTGTTGAAAGCAGCAAGGGATCATCTCTTGCTCACTCAAGTTCTGGGCCCCGTTCCACAAAGCGATCTTAGCGCTAAGGTGATTGTAACTCCCATTCTTTAACACTGACTTACGACAGTCGTAGCGCTAAGATTGCTTTGTGGAACGGGGCCCTGGTTCCAAGATGGTGTTGAGACATTGATATCATCCTGATAAATGTTCAATATACCCCAATACATGCCGAAGAGCTGGCACAGAAAATGTATATAAACATGATATGTACTGAGACATGGTGCAAAGAAGCAGACAAAGCGTACAAGTAACTATTGTCATACAACTACAAGACATGATCTCGGTTTCTGCATTTCTATATGAAAATAACACTTTGTGAACAAATAAAAATGTGTTACGTCAGAAAAACAATACTGTATAAAATAATGTCTGTGGATATATATCTCCAAACAGTATTCTATTTCAGAGAATATTTATCTGTCTACCACTGTATAATGATCCCACATTTCGAGGTCAAACCATATCCACTGGTTAAAGGAGGACTGTATGAAATAAATACGATTCCCCTGACATTAAGTCCAGTATTCTATCAGGGTTTTCTTCTGAGATTCAATAGATCCCTTCTACTCATTTAATACTAAAGGTTTGATATAGCTATTAATAGTATTCACTGTATACAACATGTAGTCCATAGTAATGGTAAGTATTCAATATAACATCTTTAATTTTCCTAATGACTTTCAAGCCGTGAAGATCCGGGGTAGAATAGGTCTTCAGCAACCCATGCTTTCCGTAAAAGGCGACTATGCTTGTCGTAAGAAGCGACTAACGGGATCGGGTGGTCAGGCTCGCTGACTTGGTTGATGCATGTCATCGTATCCCATGGATATTGCAGGGATCGATGCTCATGATATCAATCACTGGATTGTCTGGTCCAGACTCGATTATTTACAGATCGCCGTGATAAAGCTGGAATATTGCTGAGTGCGGCAACCTAACGACTTTCTCATGCTACCGCATCAGAGGATGGCGATTTTGCAGTTCTATAGATCCATTCTATTTAATCGGCCATATATGTCCGCTTCTCCAAGGAATGCTGCACCTATTCCCTAAGCGTATCATGTAGTACTGTTGCAGTATCTAAAACTGCATCATACAAATCTTTACAGGATTCATGCCACACAGTGTATCTGATATATTATGTACATTGTATGGAGTAAATGTAGAAATGTAAGGACAATAGATGAGTGAGTGAGTGAGTATGGTTTTACGCTGCTTTCAGCAATATTCCAGCAATATCACGGCGGGGGACACAAGAAGCGGGCAGGCAATAGATGAACGACTGACCATTAAATATTTGTGGTTTAAACCAATACTCGTCACGTACACGACACATATTATCCACACTGATATGACTAAGAGACCGACCATTTACTTACCTGGTCTTGGTAGGCTCGGGGGTCTTATTTCGGTCAGTCAAAACTTAATTTGTTTTCTCGGAAAGGAGGAGCAAATAATTTTTTTCACGACACATTTTAATTTCATCCAGCATGTCCGGCAAACAGTTTTATCTTTCTTGAAAACCTGAGGCAAAACTATTTATTTGTGGTATTTTCTGGAACATATGACTTATGCCGCAGCCCTTGAATATCATAGTCAGTCCCTAAGATGCAGCACATGCATACTATACGTATGTCAACAGAGAAGTATCCGATTTTAAAGCGTTTGCCTGTCTCAAACATGATTGATTCACAATTTGAACAATTTTGTGTTGTTATCGTGTTCTTCTCTACAATCAATAATGTGAAAGTGCGTGTCCTTTAGAAACAATCAAAAAGAGGAACAATACCTTCAAGTTCATTCACAAACACAATACGTTCCTTATGTAATTATATTGTAACTCGAATTTATTTTAATACAAGTGCTTTGGAAGAACATACTATCTTCAGGGAACGTGAGTTCTGCGAGTTCCGTATCTTCGCATCCAACTTTCCGCATCAGGTACACATTCCAAATCCAACTAAAGAACCAGACAAGCGTCAGGTTTGACATTTTGTAAGCAAACAAATGGATGGTGCAGTCAATATCTCGAACGTGTTTATACAAACTCATTTTGATACTTTTTACCCTAAATTCGTCAGGTTACGCAGCATAGTCTTATACTAAAATATGTGCTAAATAAATCAATTGTGGAAATATGGATCTAAACCGGTGATACATTTTTTTAATTATTCTTGATACTCACTCGTGTCCAAGATATAGTTCTGTCAGGTGGCGTTCAAATACTGTTGAACACAATCAACACAGGAATGCCACGCAAACAAACATTCCCGAATAGCACGAGACACCAGTTCAGTGTATTCCTGATGTGTGTACAAAGTTGCATGAAGAAATATTGATGGTTTATGAGTTATGCTCCGGAAACGAAACGTGACGGAAGGTTGGTTTGGTGTTTTACGCCGCACTATTCCAGCTATATGACGGCGGTCTGTAAATAATCGAGTCTGTAACTAATAATAATCGACAATCCAGTGTTTGATATCATGAGCAACGATCCACGCAATTTGTAGCGATGACATGCTTCAACCAAGTCAGCGAGCCTGAACATCCGATCCCGTTAGTCCCCTTACAACAAGCATATAGTCGCCTTTTACGGCAAGCATGGGTTCCTGAAGACCTATTCTACCCCGGATCTTCACGGGTCACGTGACGGAAGGACCACGTTTTTACATCCCCTGTAAAACTTCATTTGTGCGTGCATAATAAAAGCAAACCATTAAAGTAAATGTGCATGTACAATTATGTAGTTTAGTATGCGGTTAAGTCATCTGTCATGACAGAAGTTTTAAATTTATTCACAAACCCCTTTTTTTGGTATAATGGTCGTGGTATATGACATCTACATTGTTTGATTAATGCACAGTTCAAAAGGGTCGGGGTATTGATGATTTTATGTTCTTGTTCAGATTACATCCCGCCGTGATATTTGCTGGAATATTAAGCGACATAAAACCGTACCCACTCACTCACTCACATCCGAATTTGTTTGTTTGTTTGTTGTTTAACGCCGCACTCAGCAATATTTCAGCTATATGACGGCGATCTGTAAATAATCGAGTCTGGACCAGACAATCCAGTGATTGATATCATGAGCATTGATCCACGCAATTGGGATACGATGACATGCATCAACCAATTTTAAGTCAGCGAGTCTGACCACCCGATCCCGTCAGTCGCCTCTTACGACAAGCATAGTCGCCTCCATCCGATAGTCGACAGTATACAATAGCCACATGCAATGGCAAAATGGGGTTTCATTTACGGTCTCAAATAAATTAACTTTTTAAAATATTTTAGGTAGACCTTTGACAAGACACAATTACATGACATGATTATATCAAGCTATGAAACACAGAAATGGGATCCAAATAAATATCAGTCCTCTTATCATCCACGCAATCCAAAATCCGAAAATGTGAAATTCGTATATATATATATGAAAAATAAGGAAATGTGTTGATGTGTTTTGTTTGTGTAGGCATTTGTCCACAACATGAAGGGGCATGCATATACCACTTTATTTCAAGGTTGAAGGCGGTAGTTGAGACAGCCACTGATGCATAAAGATGTTTGCATAACACTGTATGCGTTTGTCACTGTAGGCATTATAAAGGTGAGTGTTCTAACGATTTATTTCACATTTATTGCTTGTCGAAGTCAGCGGGTTGGTTTAAATCGTAATGCTTTTCTTAATACCACGGAAACACGTGTCGCGAGGGTATATACGTATATTCATCCCCATTCGGCTTTGAAATTAAGAGAATTTGATAGAATTAGTTTTATTTTCATTATTTACAACTTTCTGAGACTATAGATCTATGTGTGAGGCCACAAGCTAACAGTCAGGCCTGTGCTGTGCGCATTGCCCAACTGCATGATTGAATGTGGGCCAAACCACGCGATGTTATCAAGCGAGAGTCAGTCTGCGTGCACAGGTCCCCGGATATGCTCGGTAACGTAATGGGTCACGAATATCGTACCGATACGACTTAGTGTACTGTTTTAGTGTATCAAAGTGATTTCAAATTGTTTTACAATGAAAATATTGCCAAGGAGAGAGAAGAGATATAGCTCGCAAAAGCATACCCTTAATTGCCACGGCTTTGAATCGAAGACCTTGTGGCCTAATGGATAAGGCGTCGGCCTCCGGAGCCGAAGATTGTGGGTTCGAGTCCCATCAAGGTCGAACCTTTTTCATTTTTATTTTTACAACTTAGTTAAACATTATTCACGAATGATACATTCAATATAACAAATTAACACGACAGGAAGTCGTTTTGACTTTTTTTTACAAAAAAATAAGTTTTGGAATTGATTATATAATTGCTGCAACCAAATTATCAGCCTATGGCTGTGAATAACTACAACATAATCGCAGAAGTCGTTTTTTTTAAACAAACATTAGGCCACAGTTGTTTGTTTGTTGGTCGGATTTGCGGTGTTTAAAATGAACAATGTGTGTGTGTGTGTGTGTGTGTGTGTGTGTGTGTGTGTGTGTGTGTGTATGTATGTCACAAAAAAAAGAGTCTAGAACTCGCCTATGCAGAAGATGTGTGACTCGTAAACTTATTGACTCGGTTTGCAATGAAATAATCGTGAATAGATATATAGGTTTCACACGATGTGGTGTGTTTTTATGTAATTTCTTTTCTTGGATAGACAGAGACCGTTCATAAATTATGAAGCAGGGGTTCGGACGAACAACATAATCACTGGATGTGACTTTACACGAATTATTCAAAATAAAACAACGTTGATAAATGTATTGTACACAGTCCACTTGGGTTCATTAGGTTAAACCCGCGACATACATGAAGCAAATTTATATCAACAATAACAATGTGTATATAAATAAGGAGCCAAATCTATCTATTAAATCATGCTCAGAGCGCGACAGTATAACCCGGTCAGTGGATTAGTGTGCACACGCATTTCATTCTCAACTCCCTGGGGAGTATTCAACCCAAGTTGCCTTATGATAGCTCTTACGGTCACATTACCATCTTATCCTACCGATTGCCCATTCACTGCTAGGTGAACAGAGGCATATTTCGACTGACACGTACTACATGCAAACCTGTTTCTGCGCAGGGCCGAAGCTGTAGAAACTCTCAGGAATCAGGTTTGCCGAATACGGTCACCCATCGAACGACTCTCCGCCACCAACGTTCCTTATCTTGCCATCATATATGACGACTCCCCACTTGTCCCACGTCAGTTATGATCTTAATATAATTGATTCATCATTTAGAAGCAAACATGATGTGTTGCAGGTCTCAGATGGTTACCTCTTTGGTGAAACCCACGAGCACGGGTTTGGTGCTGACAAACTTAGAAACATTATCTGGCCGAACCTGGATTCGAACCCACAATCATAGGTTTCTGGCATGATATAGTGCATGTCCGAACAGATATGTTTTAAAAAGTTAAAGTTTAAATGTTTGTAGGAAAGATGCATGTACTTATAAGGCAGGGAATTCCAGGCATAACAGCCTTAGCCAAAAGAGCTAGATCCACCAGGTTTCATTTTTAAATTCGGAATAACATCTCAATAGTCAATCACCAGATCACACAGGCATGTCGAAATTGTGCCACACTGAGAACTAAGGTATGGAACTTTAAAGTAACGAGATCTCAGAACTGACAATCCTTTGGATCTCTTGCCTTCACACCAAATGCATGTATTTAAAGTTTTTTGGTATAAATGAGTGTTAAAATTAAATTAGTAACCAACGCACATTGGTATAATTTCAGCATTTTAGAAGCATTTTATATCAACTCGTTAAAATCAAACCTAATTCTTGCTTCCGCTAACGTATTTGGCGACAGCGATACTAAGATCTGATTTTAATTAGATTGCATTACATATTCGATAGCAACTGCATGTTTATTGTAAATGTAGTATCTTTCAAGTTTAAAAGTGTCATCGTCTTTGACACACATGGTCATGGACCATTGCTATTAAACGACGAACGCATGAGTGGGCGGATATCGCGACACACTAAGGGACCTGGCATTTGGAGTTCCTGGGGGCCCTGGGATATTGTACCGAGATTAGATATTTATTCAGCTACAGCTATAAAACCAGATATCAGGCAGCTTGGGTTGTATACTCCCCATGAAGCTGAGAATGATTCTTGAGTGCACATTGACCCAGTGACGGGGTAATAATAGCGTTTTGATCATACCCCTGAGTGGTGTGGAAATATGGAAATTATTATTTTTTGTGGCAGAGAACTACTTTTCTTTTCAACAGTCTTAAGCATAATTATATTTTAAAGAATTATCGGGACAATTTATTTTTTTCGATAAAATCCCAGCTTACAAACTGTACAATTTGCAGAAATATCTTTATTAATAATATTGAGATATACACCAAGACCACGATGCCCAAGGCGAAGTCTGGGTAAGAGAACATCTTCTCCCTGATTTGTTTTAGATATTTGTAATTTATTAATAAAAGGCTCGATGCCATAGAGATGGTGTCCTTTCAAGAATGATGCCCTTAGCTGTTGTCACTTTGTTGTACGAATGACATTGTGCAGGAGAAGGTGATATTATGTCATCAAAGTCTAATGCAGCTTTTGCCAATTTATCATTCTCATTTCCATACAGTCCTACGTTAGCATTTGCCCATGGAAATTCAACATAAAAAAGATCTTTACTTTATTCATTATAAAGGATGAGTATAATGTTGATTAAGCCCTGCCTTGCTGAGGAAGAATCAGAATACAGTACGTTCATCATTGTTTAGTGCACTACATAACGTGGTACTCGTGGGGCTTTCAGGTAAGAATAAAGGTCCCCAGTAAACTATGCTTGTCGCAAGACTCTACTATATGGATTGGTTGGTCAGGATTGGTGACATAGCTGATTGCATGTCATCGTATCCCAATTGCGTAGATCGATGCTCACGATGTCAGTCACTGGATTGTCAGGTCCAGACTCGGTTATTTATAGACCGGCGTCACGCCGCTGGAATATTGCCGAGTGTGGCGTTGAACAAACCAAAACAAAGCACAACGTAGTGTGGTTCAAGCACAAAGCACAAAATAGGGAGCTGTACAGGGACAATTACCAACCTGGTTTCCTGGGTATGCTGCGCTAGCGCTTGACTGTAGCGCCAGCGCAGCATACCCGGGGAACCAGGCTGAGTCAGATTTAAGAACTAGGAGACTTTGTATCATTGAAATGCTCTGAGTGTTACGTGTAGATTGTGTTGCCTGTTTGGAAGACGTGTTCAAAGTTTTTGAAGAGATAAGCAACTCCAACATATTTTTCCAAACATATGCTATTTAAGAATATCGATGAAGAGTTCCACTTCAACGGGTGTCATTACTTGGACATTATGTAGAGGGGAATGTCCGAGTAACTCTCCATTCCTTAAAAATAATAGAGCAGAGGCCCCACAGGGGTCGATGCCCATCATTTTTTTAAGGAATGGAGAGTTACGAGGATATTCCCTTACTTAAAAAAACATCCTTACTTAAACACTTATACACAAAATATTCTGTTGTGGAAAATATTTGAAAAATAAACAAGAACTCTTTGTTGTCTGCATTTATACTGCGTGAGTCGCCCTTGCGTGATGCACGAGGAATGAGTTCTATGCCAACAAAGAGGTGTGTAGTCAAGAAAAGTTACTTTGAGAAGACTTGATAAAAAATGGGTAAGAACCCAACGATTGGTCAAACAGTCTTGTATAGGGCGTGGCATGGTCCGAAATAATATCCCAATGTCATGACCACTCCTCTTGCAGCGCCTATCCTATTTCAGCTGACCGGATGGCCTTTGACGTCCGCATGCACACGTCAAGGGTGCTGTTGTACGAAACAACTTTAGCCCTATGTTTGTCGAGAGTGTATGTTGAGGTATGGGAGTTATGATCACCTAAGCGCTAAGATCGCTTTGTACAACACCACCCTTGACTCCTGGCTGACCATTGCATTCTTGTGAGGTTTTGCTGCCGGATGTAGTCAGTTAATATTTGCTAACTGGGAAAGAGTGTTATTGTCTTAAAAGACAAAATATGGACCAACAGGGCGCAAACAGTATACTTGTTAACGCCAGTATATTGTCTCTTACATGGGCAACATAAGTGTCAGACAGTGATCTCGCCCCTTGCTTTAACATGCATGTAAGCCTTTGCTGTCATATCTCTGGCATACACTTTTCTGGTGATGCTAGTTGCTGCTGTTGATGCTGCTGCTACCGTTGCTACTACTACCATAATGCCAATGCTCGAAGCGCTGCATTATTATTACCCATAATGGATCAGTGTGCACTCAATTTTTAATTCTCATCTCCCTTGGGAGTGTACAACCCAAGCTACCTGTGAGGTGCAAGGTGAACATCACCATCTCATCCTACCGGGTACCCATTCACTTCTGAGTGAACAGAGGCACATTCCGAAGTCACTTGCTCAAGGAGACACCACATCTACGTTAGTGTGGCTGTGACAATAAACACTGTGAGTCACTTTCTCAAAATTGGAAACAAAATCAAGCAAAATATCACATGACTATAATTTTATTACAAATTATGTTGAGCATGTTCGTATATACATCAATGATCAGAGAATGTTCGGCACGGTTTAACAGGACATACACAGACAGGTAATATACTATTCACAAATAACCAACTGACAAGTTCTTCAATTAAATAAGGGATATTTCAGAAGATCAATTTGAAGTTCATAATTTTTTCATAAACATATTTTTTTTGCCTTATACGACTACTAAGGTTTCTTAAAATAATGAAAATAAAAACTTAAAGAAACAAAGTGAATATATGATGATGAGTGTGAAGCACCTACATTCCGTATTCCATTCATTTTCTCAAGCATCTTGGCACCTCAGATTAAGACTATCTCTGCCATTATTGCTACAGTGACATTAATGTATAAAAATATGGAATGATATTTATATTACAAATGTAAACTTAACCTGAAAATGATTATGTATGGAATTATGTAAATATATTTACACTATGTACAGATATGAAATATAAAAAACCTTATAAAATCTGAACAGTTATACTAGAATGATTCATGTTTATTATCTAAAAATTAAAAACTAAAATCTTTTGAGTGTATGGAATGCAGAAATGACACTGGTCATTGCATATGTTCAATACACAAGCAATGTCATCATTGGACAATGGCAGGTGTATTTTAGAAGGGATTCTAGTTTCTGATATTGTTGTGGAATACAAAGACTCATGTAGATCAACTGCCATTATAATGTTCTAATTCCAGACTAATATATGATTCATACTAAAACAAAAACACCTGAAATCCAACTGAATAGAAGTTTGATTATTGGCCAAAGGACTAAAAGGCAGAGACCAGGGCCTCTATTTCATAATTTACGGTATATTGAATTCACATTTTATCAAGAAGAATAAGGCATACTTAACACTTTACAAAGACAAATGGATTTGGCATACTTGATCCAATACTCAGACAGATGGTAATCGTGATAGTGTCTTTGGGTGAACTATTGTATAGTTCGGGGTAAGGCGAGCTTTATTGCATGTAATGCTGGTTAACACCTTTTCACATATGATAAATTACAACTCATTACTGATAAAACCAAAGTAGTAGCATAACACTACATATAAACAGATCTTTCTCTCAAATCATTTACCATTAAATCTTCATACTAGTCATATCAACAAAGATATTAGTAAGTGAGTGAGTGAGTGAGTATGGTTTTACGTCGCTTTCAGCAATATTTCAGCAATATCACGGCGGGGAACACCAGAAATGGGCTTCACACATTGTACCCATGTCGGGAATCGAACCCGGGTCTTCGGTGTGACGAGCGAACGCTTTAACCACTAGGCTACCCGACCGCCCCCAACAGAGATATTAAAGTCATAGAATTAAAAAAGGTCTGATCTATTTTAAAAGTCCACACCATTCACACTTAATATAAAATGAGCCCCTCAGATAAACCATTCCTGTTTCTTGGCTATATCTGGAAGCCCAGTCTGGTTATAAACAACGGCAGTGTCGGGGTTATCAGCGTACTCGGCCCCCTTGGCTTCCTTGGTGTCGTAGTCGCCGCCACTACATCGCAGCTTCGCGAGGACAACGATGAAGATGATGATGAGGACGAAGATGAGAGCCAGCACAACTGAAACACAGAAGACGATTATTATTTATGTTGTTTCTCTTTCACAGAATGAATTGGGAAATATCTAATTTCAATGTGTGAACTTTTTCTGACAGTTTCTTCAGACTTGGGGACGAACCTTGGCAACTGAGCAGGTATAGATAAAAAAAACAGCATGTGTATGTCTTACTCAAACAATGCTTGTCAAACACAATACAGATTCGTCAGAAAACTGTTTCTAATTTTTGATAAAAAGGTGATGGAAGAACGTGGTGCATACAAAACTGTACGAAGGCGTACAACTTATGTAACAACTCCTGTATGTACCTCCTAAGATGATTCTTTCATTTGTCGTAAGACCCTCATCAGGGAAGTATGGATATGTGACGTTGATGACATCGCCGCCACGGGGACGTGTCTCGATGGGATCGGGGGCCTGTGTGTATTCTTCAAATCCACACATATCTTCTCTCACTTTGCCTGAAATGAAAATATGCCACATGGTGAAATACAGTATCTTTTGATGAAAGTGTATGTATTTGTTCACAGATTCCCTGTGCACTATCCAAATGCAACCTGTACCCTGTGCACTATCCAAATGCAAGACATACCCTGTGCACTATCCAAATGCAAGACCTACGCTGTGTACTTCCCCAAATGCAAGCATACCCTGTGTACTCCTCCAAATGCAAGCATACCCTGTGAACTTCCCCAAATGCAAGCATACCCTGTGTACTTCCCCAAATGCAAGACCTACCCCGAGTACTATCAAAACACAAGACATACCCTGTGTACTTCCCCAAACACAAGACCTATGCTGTGTACAAGGTAAACTACCAACACACAGCCTGCATGTGTCTGTTCTCCTTACCCTCAGGGATGAGGCTGATAAAGGCAGGTCGGGGGTCCTGGAAAGCTCTCTTCAAGGGGAAGATGTTGTCCACTTGCATGCGGAAGATACACCCTTCAAACCCCTTGGCTGAGTTGGCAGTATCTGAAACATCAAATGTTATTGTGTGTCAAAATGTTCTTGCTTTTTTATATCAAATGTCAAAATATTAGGGACTGGTCATATATCATAAGGGGGTTGGGGTTGGGGTGGGGAGTGCAGTGAGATTAAGAAAGGAATGGGGGTAGGTCAAGCAGTAATGAGACAGCTAAAAAATGATAAATTTGAACATTATTAAATATAAAATGGGGTAGTGGGGTGAGTGGGGCGAGTGGGGTGAGTGGGAGGAGTGGGGTGGGGGCAGCAGTCTTGAGACAAATTCCACTCCTCCCCTAATAATAATTGACCCTTAAGTCATTTTAGCTGTGATTCACCGACTGTCTTTCGACATTAAGAGACAATATCCATGTCTTAATTTTATTAATCTGACTAAATTTAAACATGAAGTCCCATCAAAGTCTTACCGTTGCTGCCGATGAAAAGATATTTGGGGTTGTCCAAGATGGTGTCGCTGGACTCGGAGACGTCAAATGTCTCCTCAACTGGAGGGTAGTCATCAACCTACAGTGGGTAAACCATACTGTACTTATACTCAAGTACAAAATGTCAACATACACAGACATAAGGACCTGTACCTCACCTGAATTATTTCACATTTGTGACGCAAAATATAATTCATATATTATTTAAAAATAACTAAAAATAGATCAGGGTTTTACATTGACCTTCTAATCTAGGGGCCAAGAGAGCGCCAATTACTAATTTCAAGGGTCCTGTAAAGTAATGAAATGGTGTAATGTACTGTACTGTACTGTACTGTAAGATGTAATAATTAGTTTACATACAGTAACTTTATATTTCTTGTCAAGAATTTGGTACTCTGAATATTATTGTGCGTCTGGACGCAATATACAGTAAAATACGTTTAATAACGAACACGCTTATAACGAACTAACGGATATTACAAACTTAATTTTTGGCCCCTGCCACTTGCTGTATAGATGTTGTATATATGCTCATAACGAACTACTGTTATAGCGAACTATAATCAGTGGTCCATTTGAGTTTGTTATAACCGTAGTTTACTGTATATCTATTCTACTTCCATTCTAAATATGTGTGTGTACTGGATGCACATTTCTGCGTCACGTAAAACCCTGAATAGAAACTGAACCACCAGCTTCTCAAATGTTCTGATTTAATGGGAAAAAACCTTAATGATGACATCACGCTACTGTTCTTACAGTTGATTCGAAGCCAGGAATTCACTGGGAACTTGCATTTTAAACAAGTAAACTTACGCACATAATTATAGGTCATTTTGCAAAGTTATAGAGAAATTATGATTCAACCATAACATGGTCAAAATCAAAGAAACCACTTGACTATGTTGATTCCAGAGATAGAATCAACTCATCACGGCCATAATCATTGTGAACTGAGAATCAAACCCATGATCATTGCATCCTGGGAAACCCAAGGGAGAAAACTCTGCACAGGTTTTTTTGTCTGGCCTGAGTCAACTGGGCCCCCATGGTGGCTGAGCACTGGCTACCTGTGAGCTTACCTGGACATATATAGTCCTGCCCTTGTTGCTTCTCCTGACAACCACCTCGTGCTGCTGGCCATTGGTGAAGTCTATTCCAATGTTGGGGGTGTTCACCTCTTCCCTCTGGAAACCCACGTCCAGGGCCACCTTCACTCCACCTGCAAACAGGAACATGTATTGTAAACAAAGACAGCGACATGGCTAGATTTAGATATTGTTGGGCATTGCTACAATTGAGGGAAGGAAAGTATGTTAAGGTCACCATTCTGCAGTTTTCATAGGCGGATCCAGATGGTCCAGACCCACCCCTCCCCGTTTGAAAACCAAATGTAGGGCTTTAAAAAATAAAAGAATTGGTTCTCAGACAAATTTGAAACTATAGTGCGGGCAGGTGGTGTTTTTTTTCTTTTCTTAGTTGTACAAACTAATATGTAACCAAATAGACAGTCGTGTAACCAAATAGAATCAACCTGGGAAAGGGACTCCCAACATAAATGTATTCCTCGATGAGTAAATTACTGCAATACAGTATTTGACTACCATTGGACTCTGAATATTTAAGAATTTAAAATTTATTTTTTTTAAATATGGAAATAAAACGAAACGTGCAGTGAACTTTATGATCGTGCGGTGCCTGAGAACTAAGACTATTTTTTTGTTTAGCCTAGTATGTTATAGACAATTTCACCCCATCCCCTCCCCGCTTTTGAGGGAGGATTTTGATATTTTGGACCCCTCCTATTTAAAAATGCTGGCTCTGCCCTTGAGTTTGATGAATTGACAAGGAATAGCCAAGGCTCTAGTAACAAGATTGTTCTACCCGTAATTCACCTTACAAATTAATTTTAAACAATGAAAAAACTAAGGTAACCAAATCATAATGTTATCCTACACTGCTCCTCAATAACTATAGCCTGTGTCTACAACCGGAATAATGTTAAAGTAATGCTAAAGTTCTGTGTCTCACATTGTTGGAGTTTGTGCGAAATGAAAGAATGCTATCAAACAGATTTTTGCAATGGCTGACATTAAACATACATTCTCATCAACAGATACATGTACAAAATCCATGATGAACCTTTGATTTGATAGTCTGACATTCTAGGTGGCCATATTCATCAACAAAAATGTCCCTCAGCTTCAGTGTACAAGAAGGGACTTCTATAGCCACATATTGATACCATGTGATCCTGGTCTGGAAGCCTATTAGTAGAAGTCTATGATGACCTTGAATCCATGGGCTGCAAGGCCTCAACTAATCCCGAAACTAAAATTACTCTGAATGGTCATCCCATCCAATCATCCAATCACCATTTTCACAAAAACATCATAGTGATAGTGACATATGCTACACAACTTTTGAAAGGGAAACTGAGATGCATCAACAGCTTGAGGGAATGTTACATTAAATCATTTTTGTCTATCTTGGAATGACATTGAAAATGATGAGTTCCAAGTCAAAATTAAAAGCTATTTGTATGACGTCTTCCAGAAATCACTGGACACTCAGAATATCCTTATCAAAAGTTGAGTAGTGTATGATAGCGAATTGAGAACCATCAATCTAGCAATCCCTAGCTCTCCTCAAAGAGTGAGTGATTGAGTATGGTTTTACGCCGCTTTTAGCAATATTCCAGCAATATCACGGCGGGGGACACCAGAAATGGGCTTCACACATTGTACGTATGTCGGGATTGAACCCGGGTCTTAGGCGTGACGAGCAGCGCTTTAACTACTAGGCTACCTGACCTCCCCTCTCCTCAAAGAAAACACGTACCATTGTTGTTCATTTCCACGGAGATGTACTCCGTGTTGGGTTCGTTCCTCATCTGCATGAGGATGCCCTGCTTGTTCTTGGTGGAGAATCCTATCCGAGCGTACTGGAAGTCCGAGGCCGAGAGACCCTGATCCTCATCGAAGGTGTATCGGACCATGAAGTTGGTTTGCATGTTGACTCCCACCTCTGTAAGAACATCATTTAAATCAACAGCTTATCTTGACCAGTGATTTGTTGTTTAACACCGCACTCAGCAATATTCCGGCTATGTGACAGCGGTCTCTAAGTAATCGAGGCTGGACAGACAATCCAGTGATCGATATTGCTAGCATTGATCCATGGTATTGCTGTGTGATGACACGCAATCAACCAGTCACCGAGCAACCCGATCAATTTGGCCACCTGCATTGTCTATATTATAATAAGGGGCCCTGTTCCGATAAATCACAAACTTGTACACCAATCTGTAAGTAATCCTTATAAGTGTCCTGTAAAAAGTCTGAAGATATACATGACTGTCTAGTTTCTGTATTTTCCTCTGCTTACAGAATTTCTTAGGGAAAACACAGCAGTGTATAAGGGTTTATATCGCCATGTTAACTGTAAAACATCTCATTCACTCATAAAAGATAACTTTATCTTAAAAACATGCCATCATCTGTGGATTTAACTGTGTCTGAGTGATGCCACACTACTCATTATAGAACGAGTAATTGCGATAAACATTGCCTTCTGAAAATGTATGATGATCCAAAACCTATGATCCTATGATATAATTGCATTTTAACTATAATCAAAATCTTTTTAGTCTTGATGATATAACTGAGAGTTTGAACCCTCTCTAACTCGTTGCGTATGGCTTTAAAAAGTAACCCCTTGGTCAATTTCCTTAGTGCCCAGGCACTTATCATGAGTAATTCACTAAGTTCAGTAAATTCTGCAATACTAAAAAGCCAGTGTTGATGGTACAGAGAGTACACCATATGTTGGTAGAGAGTACACCATCTTGCAGACAAGCCTGGAACCCGACCTACCTCTGCCGCACATCCAGCCTCGGAAGGGGGTGTAGGAGCAGTCACATGTGTAGCCCGAGTACCCCTCCCGGCACGTGCCCCCGTTGAAACAGGGGTTGCTGGAACACTTGCCCACGCAGCCTGGAAAAAAGGGGAACAACTTGCAATTTATTTTGCGCCTTGTTTCCATCATAACGTGCACAACGCTGCTCACTATATATTCAACATTTACACAAAAGAGACGACGTACAGAAGAAGCTACACTGACAAAGCTGTGACAGTGGATCGCTGCTCTCACACATCACCAATGGCCATGAAGGGAAACATGATAATATATCTGGATAGATAAAATCTCCTTGGAAGAATTTCAAGAATTATTTAGCAAAGGTAATAGAGTCACTTTATTAGAGCATATTAACAAAAAGCGGAAAGTGTTATGTTTCCGAATACTGACCAACGGCTACTCCATAGGTGACATCCCCTCTTTCGACCTTGCCCTTCATGTCTAGGAGCTGACCGTTCACTCGCAGGCCCCGCATACATCCTACGAACCCGTCATTGAAGTCAACAGCAGCACCTGAAATATTACATGACATCTCAAATTGTCTGAGATACTGTTTGTGTGATGGTTGTATAACACCCGACTCAAAGTCACAAACAGACAATCCAGTGATTAGGTGGGTGGAGGGGGCAGGGAGAAAGCAAGGGAGTGTGTGGGTGGGGTTGTGGAGGGGAGAGAGAGAGGGGGAGAGAGAGAGGGAAAGAAAGGGAGATGGGAGAGGAGGGATTGAGAGTGTGGGAGGGTTGTGGAGAGGGAGGGTTGAGGGTGTGGGAGGGTTGGGGAGAGGGAGGGTTGAGGGTGTGGGAGGGTTGGATGGTGGGTGGGAGGGGAGACGGGAGAGTGGTGGAGGGGAGAGAGGAAAGGGGAGAAGGAGGGTGGGTGGATGGCATGGAGGCGAGAGGGAGAGGGAGGGGATGGGAGAGTCAGGGTTGAGGGAGGGTTGAATGGTGGGTGGGAGGGGAGACAGGGGAGTGGTGGAGGGGAGAGAGGAAGGGGGAGAAGGAGGGTGGGTAGATGGCATGGAGGAGAGAGAGGAGATGGGAGAGGAATGGGAGAGGAAGGGGAGAGGGTGTGGGAGGGTGTGGGAGGGTTGGGGAGAGGGATGTTGGATGGTGGGTGGGAGGGGAGACGAGACGGTGGAGTGTTGGAGGGGAGAAAGAAAAGGGAAAGGAGATGAGGGTGGATTCAGAGGAGAGGAAGGGGCGAGAAGCAGGGTGGATGGGTTTAACACTGCCATCATCAAAATGTCAGTTACATATGACAACATGTCAGTGATTCAGGTCATATCAAACACTTTGGTGAGCGAGGATCACAACGGGTTGAAATCTTGGAATCAAGCCAACAACCAGCAGATCCAAGCACAGCCAAGGGACAAAACTCAGAATAAACAATTTGCAACTGGGCCACCTCAGCTAAGAAGTACAACCTTATTTCTAAATTATCAAGTGAAATGACAAAATTATCTCTGAGTGAAGAAGAATATTTGATTTTTCCAAAACAGGAAGTGAACTTTTTGGAATCAAAGTGCAGTTGATTTTCAACTTTTCAAGGTTCACTGTCAATGAACACCCATAATAATTTATTCTTTTTCTTAATTCCCATCACCTGACAAGACGATACACAGAATTCCCTTCCTGCACTGCTACATACCAATAACTAGTCTGCTTGTGAGGTCCAACATTCGGATGAGGTCGGAGTCTTCATTTACGAAGACCTCGGTGTAGTCATCGATCCTCATCCAAGCCTGCTTCCTGTTGTGTTCTATGTGGACCGTGTGCCATGTGTCATCGTTTAGGGGCCCTGGAGACTGGTAGGTCAGGACCTGCACGCCGTTGCCCACATCGTAGCGGAACTGCACAGTGTCTCCCTCTGTCAGCAAGATTAAGAACATATAAACTCTGGTGAACATGTCGTGCTTATGGGTCGTTGAGTTCATGGGGTTTACACTACTCAAAACAAGAGTCATCAGAAGATGGCAAATCCCCCCTGGCCCTACAATAGTAAAAGGCACCACTTCAGCCCCTGGTTAATACATGTACCCAGTTTAGATGAAAATCTTTCACTGTTTTCAAGTCACGCTCTGGAAACAAAATACGGGGATGACTTTATTACATACTTCAGTGTGAAAGACTGAGTTTTCTGAAGTTGAGAAAAGTGATATTTTTATTGCAGTGAACATAACACTTTGACGGACTATTGTCATACAAGATCCGTACACAAACTGTTGACTTCCTCTTTGTGTTAGTTCCACATTGGCAAGGCCAAATAATAACAGTTGTCACTTTTGGAGTTAACATCGAATTTGTTATTCTCTTGAAAATGTTTCGTTATAAACAGTAAATTTCTCATTTAACTCATCAATCGAAACTGTTTGTTTGGAACTTGGTACTACTTTTTAAGTCACATTCACATGGGGTGTAACAACATCCCTGCATGTCAGTGTTTCAAGGTTTTACATTTGTAACAAAATTTTTTTTTTACAAACACACAAAAAGTATAAAATAAATAGGATATTCCATGTTTCTAATGAAAATCATGTTTCTCTCATCTCTTGAAAGGAGAAACATATTTCACCTGACACATAAAATATCTCAATATATCCCCGCTCATTATATGCCGGGGATAAATAGAGAAGGATCACTGGATTCTTGTATATTACTATAGTTAATTATGTCACGACATGACATTTCGGTATGTTGACCTTCTATAAATAAAGTTGCCAAATAATACAACCATTTCTAACCTGGAAGCACAACATGGGACCTCTATACTGAACTACTTACGGGAGAGTCGGACTTCGATGAAGTCTCTGGGCCCGACGTTGTGGACCATGACGCCATCTGTGGACGTGGTGCGGAACTGGTACCAGATGTCACCTGCGTTCTCTGCCTCAAAAGTTGCAAATTCTAAAGTGGCATCAGCCTTCCTGAAGGTGATGACGTTATCGAACAGATCTGAAACAAAACAATTTTGAATGATTAAAATGTCACTATCAATTTACATTCAATTCTTGTCGGGCAGCCTCTTCGAAGCAGTCTTAGCGCTTAAGAGTGACCATTTTGTCTGCCAAGGGCACTTAGTTAGAAATCCTAGATAAATCCCTGTCATCATAATATCACCATGGTAACACATATAATGCAGTGGAAGCTTATAGCTTATTATATGAGATAGGAATAGTTGTTTGACAGTATTATCTCAGGGGAGACTACTCCCATCAAACTTCCTGTACTGACCATGTGCTCACTGGTGACCTAGTAAAACTGCATTCACAAACACACAGTTGTCTTTTGAATGTTGCAACTACCCCAGTACCATCATCGCCTCAACAACATACCATCTCCTACACATTCCAGCTTTCCGACTCGGTGTGCCCCAGACTTCGTGTCCGTCACAGTGCCAGTGTCGCCCATGTGAAGCTCCAGCACAGGGAGGTAGTCCTTGTGAACCAGGTACCCCTTGTCCGAGGTCTGCAGCAGTTGACCAGCATCACAGTTACAGGTTTCGCTCCCACTGATACAGCCCTTCTCGTCCAGACCACAGGAACACTTGAAGGAGCCTGGAGCGGCACCGCCCCAGTAGTACATGGGCTGGTATGTGCGGCCCACCCACCAGGCAAACGATCTCTCTAATGTGTCACCTGGAACACAGAGAAAGTCACATGTAAATTCATGTGTTCGTCAGTCTCACAACCACTAAACCCTATTATTTTCCCATCCGCCCAGCCCTTACTGTTACGCTGTAGCCCTGTAATGCTCTACAGCCCTTAGGGACTAACTATTTGATATTCTGGGAGATGGATGGGGTGGGAGTGAGGTGGGTGGAGAGGTGGGTAGCTTTGGATTTAGTATCAAGATTGCATATTTTTTCAGCAGTTACAGGGTAGAAACATGACTTTTATAGTCAGTTAACTCTCTTGCCTCAGGAAGATGACAATTTATTTGTTTTTCAACAGTCTGAAGCAAAATATATGTTTTCAAAAATTTTCGGAACAATGTTCTTTTTTCAATAAAATTCCAGCCTCACCTGGTTTAGCCAGAAGCCTGGAGTTGAAGCAGCTGTATTCAATGTACTGCTTGCAGCTGGCAGATCTCTCGATGACATTGGTGAGTTCTGGGAGGCCGGTGACGTAGTTGACAAAGCGGATGTAGGACCCGGGCTCCTGGTAGCCATTGACCGTGATCCAGTTCTCACTGTCATGGCTGATGTAGGTCACTGGGTATCCGGCATCATCTTAAAGTATCACATGAGAAAGTGTTGATTTAACTTCATTGAATAAACATTTTTCCAGATGTTTCACAGTAATACCAGTTCAATTTTGAAGCAACGCTGAATGTCACCGAGGCTGTAACCCATGAGTATATTATGGATCATAATATGAGTAAACTTAACAATGGACAATAACTTAAGTGAACTTAAGAATGGATCATAATTTGAGTGAACTTAAGAATGGACCATAATTTGAGTTACCTTAACAACGGACAATAACTTAAGTGAACTTAAGGATGGATCATACTTTGAGTGAACTTAAGAATGGACCATAATTTGAGTGAACTTAAGAATGGATCATAATTTGAGTTAACTTAACAATGGAAATAACTTAAGTGAACTTAAGGATGGATAATACTTTAATTGAACCTAAGAATGGATCATAATTTGAGTGAACTTAAGAATTGCCAATAACTTATGTAAACTTAACAATGGATCATAACTTATATGAACTTAAGAATGGGTCATAACTTAAGTGAACTTAACAATGGACCATAATTCAAGTGAACTTGACAATGGATCATAACTTATATGAACTTAACAATGGATCATACCTTATATGAACTTAAGAATGGGTCATAACTTAAGTGAACTTAACAATGGACCATAATTCAAGTGAACTGAACAATGGATCATAACTTAAGTGAACTTAACAATGGATCATATATGTAAATAATCAAGTCTGTACAGGCCATACAGTGAATGAGATTGTGAGCAAGGACACACACCACTGGGATAAGATGACACGCAAACAACAAAGCCTGACAACCCGATCCATTTGGTCATCTCTTATGACCACCATAAATTTATAGCGACTTATTCTGACCAGGTATCCATCCCTACAGGGTATTTAAGCTCTAAACATGACCATACCTATAATTAGTATACACTGTATCTCCTCCCAGGCTCCTCACAGAGTCCTGACTTACATGTCATGGTGGTGCAACTTACTCATTTCACACATGACCTTGAACGGCCCGAGTGGTCCAGAGCCGTCAGGGTCGATGGTGGCTTCTTCAACTCCTTCGATCGTCTCAGAGTACAGCTTGTGCATAGTGCAGGAGATGTGGTGAGCAGCTAGGCAGAGATAACACACACAAGTTACTTCCTGTGGATCAACAGCCTATCTGTCACGTCTACTATGGAACATTTCTTTCACTATTTCCGGCATTCGTCTACACCCCCTCAGCCCCAAATCTGCAGCAAAAGTCCAGCCCAGATTGTTGTTTAACGCCGCACTCAGCAATATTCCAGCCACATGACGGCGGTCCGTAAATAATCGAGTCTGGACCAGACAATCCAGTGATTAACATCATGAGCATCGATCCACGCAATTGGGGTACGATGACGATGTCTCATAGCGGTTTAGCCAATTAGATCTCTTCTATGAACAATACAAGATGACTGTCAAGATCAACCAAAACAGTTAGTGCTTTTCATGATACTGTTCTGAAAAATCATGATAAATGCTTCGGAAAAATAAAATAGTTTGTAGAATCTTGCATTTCTGACACCACCTTCTATATTAAAACGCAATTATAAGTAATATACAGTACAGAGAGAATACATTTGTAGCCTGAACCTCACTCTACTGCATAATGTTATTGGGTACTCACAGATATGACACATCTCCCCCTTGTAGCCGGTGTTGTCGCACCTGCAGTAGAAGTTGTCCCAGTTCTGGGTGCAGTTGCCGCCGTGTTCACAAGGATTTGGGGTGCACCTGGAGACAAGCAGTAATAATAATAATGATGATGATGACAATCATAATAATTATATGAATACATATTATAATGCGCCAATGTCACACCTTAAAGCATGCTCACAGTGTAACATTATTACCACAAGTAGGTCAACAATCAGATTACTATTTCATCCTCCCGGGTACCCATCCACTGATGGGTGAACAGAGGCATATTTTTCTAACAAAGCCAATTCCCTTAGGAGACACCAAACATACGATGTGACAGTGAGTACAACTGACGGCAAAGAGATCATAGCGTATTTGCCGTAGTAAACTTCAACAAGAGCCTTCTGACCAACTTGTACACCTATCTGTAAGTCAATCTCATTAAAATCAGATCTTAGTTCTTGCTGTCGCTAAACAAAAATCTGAGGACATCCCATTACGGGTCACTTCAGACCGACCTTGCGCGAACTTTGACCGACCAATTGAATGACTAATCAGAAGGCAGCTTTCTTGTGCTTTACGGCACAAATTTCAAATTAGCGACTACGCTTTGAAACATATTTTGACAAATTCTCGATTACAAATTTGAAACCTGAACAAAAAAACACATTCTGGGATTGTTACGATTCAGTCGTTAAACACGTAACTATCGTTCGGAATACCCTATGTTAAAGTTTTCGAGATTGCATGATTAGAAATCACATTCTGACTGTCACTTTCATAATCTGGTCAGCAACTCACTGATTGGTCAGATGAAAGGTCGTTCTGACGTGACCCTTAATGGGACGTCTTCAGATCTTTGTTTAGCGGTAGCGAGAACAAAGGTCTGATTTTAATGAGATTGATCTGTAAGTAATCATTATATGCCCCCAGTTCTAAACTTGAAAATTAATATGACTTGTGAACATTACAGACCTTTTACAGAAACACAGCAGTTTAAAAGGGATACAAATTGCCTCGTAACTATTATTGAGTGAGTGAGTTGGGTTTAACGCCGCTTTTAACAGTATTCCTGTTATATTGCGGCGTGTCAGCTTAATGTGGGAGGAAAGCCCGAAGTGATGCAGGTCTAAGACGTTCACCACTTTGGTGAAACCCACGAGTATGGTGCTGACAAACTGACAAACATAGAAACATAATCGGGGCGACCTGGTATTCGAACCCACAATCATAGGTTTCTAGTGTGCCCAAGGGATGCAATTCTGCACATTGAATCACAGCACCTTAGACGACTGAGCCACCCTTGGCCCCCTTGGCCCCCATAACTACTATTGAAAATATTTGAGGTTCATTGACATTCAAACCAAGTTTGTTCTGTCCTGCCCAATCACTGTTACAAAGTTTATGAATTCTAAGGGCCTCACAAACTCTGCCCTTTCAGATGGATGCAGTACTTTTTATCAATCTGAAATATATGGAGGGATAAACTTTATCCCTTGAACAGAGATCCAGATAACTTTTTGAGCAATTGAGTTTTTACTCAAGGGTTTCTATTTTAATTGGGTTCTTACATTTTTCATTGGGTAACCAATATTTTTTTACTCATCTATCAATCACTCTATTTGGATTTTCCCAAAATTAGTTAATATTTTAAGATTTCTAAATGACTTGACTCAGAAAGTAAAATTTTTATACATTTGATTTTTTTCATTTAATGCATGTGTTTCTGTACGCAAGTTTTTGGGGGAGCAAATACACTGCTTATCTGAAGCTCTGCTTGAACAAGTATTTGTCACAGAGTGACGAAATATCCCCCGCCTGTACACCATAGTACCAAATATGAAGACAATCCAGTGTTTAGTTCTTGAGATATCGCGGCAACACCATTTTCCAACTCTAAAAGCAGATTTGTCTGCTGTGACCTTGAAAATGGGATCAAGGTCACCAAAACCGACTGGTGTCTGCGGAGTCTGTATATACACCATAGTTCCAAATATGAAGACAATCCAGCGATTAGTTCTTGAGATATCGCGGCAACACCGTTTTCTAACTCCAAAAGCAGATTTGCCTGCTGTGACCTTGAAAATGGGATCAAGGTCACCAAAACCGACTGGTGTCTGCGGAGTCTGTATATACACCATAGTTCCAAATATGAAGACAATCCAGTGTTTAGTTCTTGAGATATCGCGGCAACACCGTTTTCCAACTCTAAAAGCAGATTTGTCTGCTGTGACCTTGAAAATGGGATCAAGGTCACCAAAACCGACTGGTGTCTGCGGAGTCTGTATATACACCATAGTTCCAAATATGAAGACAATCCAGTGTTTAGTTCTTGAGATATCGCGGCAAGAAACAGGTGGGACGTACGGACGGACGGACGTACGGAAGGACGGTCGTGAATACTATATCCCCCGCTTCGCGCTTTCGCGCGGCGGGGGATAATAAGCAAGGACCTTTGTACAATGCTGGTATATCCAGACTCACCTATCTCGAATAGCACACGTTCCAACATCAGCATCAAAGATGCTTCCCTGGTCCAATGTTGCAAGGTTGACGACCCGGGCAGCAACTTCCAGATTCCGAAGACATCCCCGGAAACCTGTGGCTATATCCTGGCCACCTGGAATAATAGTCATTTCCATGTAGTTAGGCTAAAAATAATAACAGTCTTTGTTCTCAGGCACTGCCTGCATCATCATAAAGTCTGCAGCATGTTTAGTTTTTATTTCCATTTTAAAAAACAAACAAACAAACAAACAAATCCTTAACTATTCAAAGTCCAACGGTATTCAGATACTGTATTCCAGTATTTTACTCATCATGGAATACATTTATGTAGAGAGGCCCTTTACCAGGTTGATTGTCAGAGCTCCGGATAAGCTTTTGGTGTTGTGGGTATTTTACCCAGGCATTTTAAAATCATTGGGTATCAGTAATTTTACCTGCATATTCAAATTTCTGTTACCCACTAGTTTTTACACGTGGGTATTTAAGTTAAATATTTAAAAACACTATTCATCTAGTCCCTGCAAACTGGTGTCGGGTGGGTTCGAGAGCTTTATAGGACTCAAAAATACCACGATACTTCCACAAGAAAGTGTGATGGCAAATGATCATGATGTAACTGTCATCGTGGAGTTTGGCAAGGTTGACGGAATGCCCCTTTATAATTTCAAAATAAGTTGCTGATTTGCTAATCGAATACGCAGGCTTACTTCACAATATTTTGATGATACGCACAAGTTTTATTTTTGTAGCGTATCTGTGATGTTCGTTGTGTATTTGATACGCTTGGATTATATTTTACTGTGTATTTCTGCATTTCTGATGCGTATTTCACGCAGATACGCAGCTTATCTGGAACTCTGATTTACACAGTTAGTTCAACTTAAAAAATAAAATTGTATTTGGTTTTACAACTGTATGTTTGGTTATATACTAGTTTGAACAACAGCAAAAAAAACACTGCCCACACTATAATTTCAAAAGCAAATGCCTGAGAAACTATTCTTTTATTTTTTTACGTCTTATCCGACTGAACTACACTGAATAGGGCCTCTCTGAAAATGTGTGCAAAACTTCAGCCATATCATTGGGAGCTAATAATCCATATCTGTCATTTACCACTTTAGTTAGTTTGTTTGTTGTTTAACGCCACACCCAACAATATTCCAGCTGTATGACATCAGTCCAAATCTGAATCTGAACCAGACAATTCAGTGGTTGATATTGTGAGCAATGATCCACAATGTCGCGGTACGAGAACATGCTTTCAACCAAGTCTGACCACTCGATCCATTTGGTTGCCTATTCAAATGAGCATAGGTTGCTGGGGACCTATTCCAACTCTTAGTGCACATGGGAGTACCAATTTAGTAAACCATTGGTAAGGTGATCACAAACCTAGAAAAATAATCACAGTGAATCTCAGATTCAAACCCATGGTGATAGGTTTCTGGCACACCTAAGGGAAACAACTCTACGCAGAGTATAGAAGCACCTAGACAATTAACTGGTTCAACCACGTACTCCGTAGAAGCTGTGAAAATATTACTTAAACCCTGAAAAATCAAACATATCCAGCTAGACCACACCTGACTCCAGACTCGATTATTTACAGACCGCTGTCATATAGCTGGAGGTGAGGTGAAATGGGGTTTAACGTCGCGTCCAAGATTATTGCACTTATATAGCGACATGCATGTACGTGTGTGTGTTTGTGTGGCTGCTTGTACTAGTCCGGACTGATGCCGATTTATAGTGCTAGCTCACTGAGATACCATGCCGCAGTTTAACATGAATATCCCACTCAGACACAGTATACTGACTCCGAGCAGACCAGTCCTTGTTTTAGCCCCTTAAAGTCGAGCGCCAGACAGGGTAACAACAAGTACCATCTTTTAACGTCTTTTGGTATGACACGGCCGGGGATCGAACCCCGGACCTTCCGCTCTCCGGGCGGACGCTCTACCACTAGACCACGGGGGCGGTCTCATATAGCTGGAATAATGCTGACTTCAGCGTTAAACAACAAACAAACAAACAATATTTCCAGTATTGTTTCTAATGACACCTTACATCTGATATTTTCTCATCACACTACTGACATTTTATTCTGATTAATGCTATGAACTAATTTCAATATTTCATCATCGAAGTAAGCTGGAATGAGATCACTGACCTATGTAGTAGGTAGTCGACGCTCCAATGTCCAGCGCCCTGTTGGAGACCTTGACATTGCGGTCAACGGTGCAGTTGACCTTGGTGGTGTCAACATAGATGGAGAACTTGTGCCACAGGCCATCAGTGAAACCTCTCGTAGAACTCAAAATGTCCGCTACAAATCAAATGAATGTACAGTTCAGTTAGTGAGTGAGTTGGGTTCAATGATTGTTTGAACAATATTTCAATTATTTTCTTCTCATTGATGAAACCCATCAGGGTGTGGTGGTGATAAACATATTCAGGGGAAATCTGTGAATCAAAACAAAGATCCTGCCACGCCTAAGGGAGGCAACTTAACACCAGAAAATATGCTGCTATTATTCAAACTAAAAAATTATTCTGAAAGGCAGTTTTCCCATGGCAGTGATATTTTAATTACAATTTAAAGTAGGTATAACTACTTTATATTTTGATGGTCTTTTCATCCCGACAGTGTATCTTGAACCCTGGCAGGGCATGACCACACATGGATGTCCAGTGGTCCGTTCCACAAAACGATCTTAGAGTTAGGCGATCGTTAATCTGATCCTTCAACATTACATTACGACAGTCCTAGCACTAGAGCCGCTTTGTTGATCGGGGCCCAGGACTGTTCTGTATCATCCCCTACCCTACATAATTATTGTCTGTTATCTAATCACCTTCTCACAATGCCAAAATCACCTCATTTTTTATACCTGAAGCAAATATTTTTTTTTTATAAGATTCCCAGAATTACCCCAGAATTTCAAATGGAAGGTGTATCCCTGACATTCAGTCTATGCTTACTGTTTCTGACGACATCTTCAATGATCTGTCCAGTCCGCGACACCACCTTGTATGCCACGTAGCCATTGTTGTCCAGCGTCACCTGAAACAGTCACCAACAGTTGCCATGGTTACACATAGTCCTCCTTCACACTAATGCCCTCATGATACCACACCCACTTATGGACTATTTCACTGATTGGCTCATAATAGTGAGTGAGTGAGTGAGTGAGTGAGTGAGTGAGTGAGTGAGTGAGTTGGGTCTTACGCCGTTTTTAACAGTATTCCAGTTATATCACGGCTTGTCAGCTTAATGTGGGAGGAAAGCCCAAAGTGATGCAGGTCTCGGACGTTTACCACTTAGGTGGAACCCACGAGCACGGGTATGGTGCTGACAAACCTAGAAACATAATCGGGGCAAACCGGGATTCAAACCCACAATCATAGGTTTCTGGTGCGCCCAAGGAACGCAACTCCCAGTGAATCGTGGCGCCTTAGACGACTGGGCCACCCGTGCCCCTGGCTCATAATAGAATGGGTGGGGCTACACAGATTTCTACAGCATGAACACTGCTTTTTACATTTACACCTCCATAAAACACACAAACATGTTCCAAGTCAATCCTCAAAAGGAATTCATGACATCATACAATACAATATATATCCCAATTCTCTATGAAGGGGTGAGTGAATTGTGTTGAAATTTGCTCTGAACAGCTAAAAGTGGGAAGAAAGTGGTAGGAATGGATAAGTGAGGATGTTTACACACTAGTGACTAACCAAGAAACATTGTCAGAGCAAACCCATGATCAGCTGATCCTGGCAGACCTAAGGGACACAACCCTGCACAACAAATTCAGGCACCTTAAACTAGCAGTAAATCTTGTACTTTTCCATATTAGCCTATTGTGTTGAACATTTTGTGATGCACATCCAAATACAGTGTTTGTTGACCCCGAGACACTCACCGTGACCCCGCTACCCGCCTCCTCCAGCGCATGGTACATCAGCATGCCGTTCTCATCGTGAGTACGGAAGTCAAAGTTCACTCGGATTGGTCCACCCGCATCTCGGCCTGACAGCTTCAGGTACGACTTGGTTGTTGGGAATGTGACAGGAATCGATGAGGAAATCTGTGAATAACATAGTGAATTCAATGGCCTGTAGAGCTACAAACAATACACTGCCACTGTATAGTGTTACACCTGTCATTGCATGATGCATTTTGTCCAGTTGCTGATATAATGATTTATCATATAATGGGTAAGTTTCTCGGCAGGATAAACCCGACGGATAAAAACGATATCCGTTGGGGTCATATGCAGATAGTGATGCAAATATCAAAGGTCAAGTAGGGACTACTTTCACTGTTTATACACAAACATGGCATCGCCCTTGTCATTCAGCGATCGAGTCAGAATTAACCATAGGGAATCTGGATGAACTACAAGGATAATTGCTATCATTATCAAAAGAACAGCCTAATATACTGAAAATCTGTGTCTAACTGTGACATAGCTAAGGCATTTGATAAGTTTTGGCAACTTTGGAGATATAAATTCGAAACAATTTTGCGAGGACACGAGGCCTAGCCAAGCGGGATCAGTAGCCATATCTGTGCTTGTAGACCTCTGCGGCTTGAAACCTTCTCCACAAATTAAAATAGTTGGATTTGGCCGAAATATATTTGAATTGTTACCTTGTTTCGTTTTGTCGCTGTGTGTACATCTGACTACACTTCTTAACGTTATGACAGGACAGACCTACTGTCAACGTCTGACCGTGGCCCCGACGTCTCATAGACTAGGGTTAGGGTAGCTTCCCTTTGACAAAGGGCAGTTACTCCAGCAGACAGACCGATGGATTGCCACGAAAGGCAATTAAAAACAATTGTTGTTTTGCGTATATGTTGCTTCGCCACTGGATAAGAAACCGATTTCAGTTGGAACTATATTGGCTACTGTCACTGTCCGACTGACACATCACTTACCCTATGACATAATAAATATTAATAAATGTTAATGCGCGCATTCCAGGAAAACTCGCAATGTTTCGGTAATGTTTGTGAGAGATGGAAAGCCATTTTAAAGCACCGATTTAAAGTATGACATTGTATGATAAAGAGGTTATCACACATGTGTGTTTGGGGATGGTAAATATCCTGTATTAGGAATAAACACTATGTATTTAGCTCGCCAAGGCTCGCTAAATACGATGTTTATTCCCAATGCAGGATATTTACCATCCCCAAACACACGCGAGTAATAACCCCCTTTTTATCAAGTGTAGTACATTCTTATTGGAGGGCAAATATGGGCCTAGTTTGACCAAACTTACCCCACAAGTGAAAGCAACCACGCCCCCCTTCAGTTCAGCCGACGCTCCACCTTGAGCATCTTCCAACAGCTTGGCACCATTGAAGTTGACATTTTCCACACAGCCCACAAAATTATATTTAACCTCAATCCCCTCCTGATTGAAGTATGGGACACCTCCAATGTACAACTGAAAACAGAAAAATAAAAATAATAACAAACATATTCCCCTCAAACCATATCAACTACAATTGAAAATTATAATCAAAATCCTGTGTAACTTCCTTTATGATGGACCCCAACTGGGGATTTCAGCAATCACCATGGTAACCCTACTGGGGATATCTGCAATCACCATGGTAATCCTACTGGGGATCTCAGCAATCACCATGGTAACCCTACTGGTGATCTCTGAAATCACCACAGTAACCCTACTGGGTGATCTCTGCAATCACCATGGCAACCCTACTGGGGATCTCTGCAATCATCATGGTAATCCTACTGGGGATCTCTGCCATCACCATAGTAACACTACTAAGGATCTCAGCAATCACCATTGTAAAACTACTGGAGATCTCTGCAACATCACCAGTGTAATCCTTAAAGGAAAAAGTGCCTTGAATTGGTATAACTAATGTTTTGGCTTTGTAGAAATGATAGTAGCTGGATCAAGAGTAAAAGGAATTTTAATAATGTTAATGCACAGATTTACAAAATCATTTGCATTGCATGGAATATGAAAGTACATTGTTAAAATACTGAATTAAAACAAATACAAATTTGAACAAAATGGTTATTTTTTTTCGCAAAGGCACTTTTTCAGAATCCTAAATAAATCCTGGTTATGTTTTGTTTGTTTGTTGTTTTACGTGGCAATCAGCAATATTCCAGCTATATGACGTCTGTCTGTAAATAATTTAGTCTGGACCCGACAATCCAGTGATTGACATCATGGCATCGATCCACGCAATTGGGATAAGATGACATACATCAAGTCAGCGAACCTGACCACCCGATCCTGTTAGTTGCCTCTTACGACAAGCACAGACGCCTTTTATGGCAAGCATGGGTTGCTGAAGTCCTATGCTAACCCAGATCCCTGGTGATGAGGCAAGTTGGGACAAAAGCCTCATGTCATTATGAACTGTCCACTCACATATTTATCCAAGTCCAGCCGGTAGAACAGTCCGTTGGTTTCCAACTCATTGACCAGCCTGTCCACTACGACCTTCAACTTCTTCTTCTCCCGAGTGATGACCACGTCATGCCACTGGTGGTCGTCAAGGAGACTGCCGCCGATCACCTCGGTGCGACCACGGCTCGACTGAGTGGACCCTAGAAGCAAACAGGACCGACATTCATAAACAGATATAAATATACTGTGTACATTCTTGTCAATACTCTTCTTGTAATTGACATCCTCAATTAATAACCTCCCTAATAACTGCACACCAGCACATTACCATGTTGAAAATGTTATCTCTGCATGTATCATAAACTAGAGGGGGTAGCAAAAGGAGGTGAAATGGGGATTAACATCGCATTCCAAGATTACTGCACTTATAAAGCTATGTGCATGCATGTGTGTGTGTGGCTGCTTGTGCTTATCCAGAATTTTGCCAGTTTTATAGCTATACCATGCTGCAGTTTAACATGAATACCCCATTCAGACACAGTATACTGACTCCGAGCTGACCAGTCCTTTTTTATGCCCTTGATGACGAACACCAGGCAGGCTAATAAGTATCATCTTTTAACGTCTTTTGGTGGGATCAAACCACTGACATTCCACGCTCTGGGCAACTCTATCAACTACACTACAGAAGCAGTAAAACTTGAGCAAGTTGAGTAAATAGTTTTACAAAAAACAACCAAAACACAACTTCTTTCAAATATTTTGGTCAACATGTCAAGAGGCAAAAATAGATGCAGGAGGCAAACATGGCAAAACATGAAAAGTTGTCACTGTCAGGGTTGATCTGAAAGACAAATCAGTCAAAAACATGTAAGCATTAAACATATTGTCTCTGTTATTGGAGAACCTGATGACAGACAGTAGATGAAAATTAAAGCTCCAAATATGTGAATTTCAAGAGGCGTTTCACCAAACTTGGGGAATAAACCCCCTTACTTACCCAAATCTATCCTGAAGTACATGTAGCCCCTCCTCATCTCCATGACAATATAGTCTCCCTGGTTTCCGCTGGCGTAGAACAGGACACCGTCTGGCTTGTTGGTCTTGAAGCGAAGTTCCAAGGTGTCGGACTCCGACGGCACTGGTTGGCGACTGAGATCAAACTGCATGTAGCTTGTTTCAGTGAAGGAAGCAACAAAGGGGTCTGGAAGAAGAGTGAGTGAGTGAGTGAGTGAGTGAGTGAGTGAGTGAGTGAGTGAGTGAGTGAGTGAGTGAGTGAGTGAGTGAGTGAGTGAGTGAGTTGGGTTTAACAGTATGTCAGTTATATCATGGTGTGTCAGCCTGATGCGGAGTGAGTATGGTCTTATGCCACTTTTAGAAATATTCCAGCAATATCACAACAGAGGACACCCGAAATGGGCTTCACACATTGTACCCACTTGGAGAATTGAACCCGGATCTTCGGCGTGACAAGCAAACGCCTTAACCACACGGCTACCCCACTGCCCCTGCCTGATGTGGCAGGAGTGAGGGTAAGTGAGTGAGTTTGATTTTATGCCGTTTTTAGCAATATTCCAGCAATATTATGGCTTCACACATTGTACCCATGTCGTTAATCGAACCCGGGTCTTCAGCATGATGAGCAAAAGCTATAACCTATAGGGTACCCGACCACCCATGACGTGGCAGGAGGTGATGCAGGCCTTGGTAAAACCCATGAGGATGGGTATGGTGCACATAAAATAGAAACAATCATTCAGAACTGGGGATTTTAACATCGGCCTTTGAGCTGGTTAAAACATTACAATGATTCTGTACTAAGAAAAAAAATGTTAGGAATCCTGAATTTTTTTCAGGATATTTTTGGAAGTGAAGACTGATCACACAATTTTATAAAAAGATCTCCAAATATATTCATGAGCCTTAAGATTTTTTGTTGAGTATACTCACTGAAAAGGCAGCCGTAGATCTCCATCCTCAAGGAGATAAACATGTTCCAGCGCTGTGGGTTGAAGCGGATGTATCGGGCAACGATCGGGTAGTGGAGTGTGTTCTGGACGATCTTCCAGCCATTGTCATTACCCACAAACATCTGAAATAGGACATAGACTCTAGTAATGACAAGCCATTTGATGATTATGGTAATTGGATTAGATATCTATGAAATAATCTTTATCATTTCCTGTTGTACTTTTTGTTCCGCCACAGGCGATGTTAAACCTGTAGTCGTTGTACATTACAAGGTGTGTGTAGGTGTGCAGCAGGGTTGTTTTCTTTATCCCTCACCATTAACACATTAGCACAACAATGCAATTTAATTGAGATTTTGAGCCTGATAATGCCATGACAAAATGATCATCATTAGCACGATTAGCTTCCTAATTGGACAGGCTTAGTTCTGAAATAGTTTCTGCATTGTTTAACACCACACTCAACAATATTCCAGCCATAAGGTGGTCTGTAAATGGTTGAGTCTGTACCAGACAATCCAGTGACTGACATTGGGAGTGTCATGGATAAAATGACATGCATCAACATGGTCAGCAAGCTTGACCACCTGATTCTGTTAGTCGCCTCTTACGAAAAGCATGGGTTGCTGAAGACCAATCCTAACCAAAAACTGAATGTTGGTGAGTGTGGGGTGGAAGGAAAGAGATTTGAGCTACTAACTTCTGGGATGCCATATTCATTGGTATATCTTCTCCATGTGTTTCTATCATCAGAATATTCCAAAAAGTATTCTGTGACGAATTCATCACTCCCCTGGCGCCCCTGTGTTGCAACTGCTGTGACAAAGTATCGGGCTCCAAGATCTACCCCCAGGTACTGAATTGCATTCTGGGTACCTGCAGTCCATGCCCCTGAAAAAGTTGGAAATAAGACCATTGAAATTTAACAAACAAGTAGGTTTAAAAAACCCTCAATTATAACATTATCGACATGCTTGCATACTTGGACAAAACACCTTTTACCATCAAACTACCATCAAAACCATGCAATTTTATTTCAATTTAGCTCATTTTATTCATGCAAAGTAATGAAATAGAATTCTGTACATCAAGCCACTTGGCTTCACCGTGCTCACTGAAGGCCATTTATGACTGACAGCTTTCAAGCCCGGGGGCACGGGTGGCCCAGTCGTCTAAGGCGCTGTGATTCGCTGTGCAGAGTTGCGTCCCTTGAACACGCAAGAAACCTATGATTGTGGGTTCGAATCCCGGTTCGCCCCGATTATGTTTCTAGGTTTGTCAGCACCATACCCGTGCTCTTGGGTTTCACCGAAGTGGTAAACGTCTGAGACCTGCATCTCTTCGGGCTTTCCTCCCACATTAAGCTGACACGCCGTGATATAACTGGAATACTGTTAAAAGCGGCGTTAAACCAAACTCACTCACTCACTTTCAAGCCATCATGATGTACAATGCATGTTGATTATGTTTGCCATGTTCCAGCTTTATTACTACAGCCTTTACTACAGCCACTTTCGGTCAGGCAAACATGTGGTTGATTGCATGAACAATAATCCACACTGTCAGGGTAAAATAGCAAACGTCATCATAAATCCTGTCAAACATTGTGACTCTGAAATCCTCATTTAGACAGCACCTTTGGCCAGCATTGGGTTTTAGGGATTTATCAAGGAATCCAAACTAACAGCTCTTGAGAAAATTTGGGGGAAAAAAAAGTTTGTCCAAAATAAGGATTTTTGTTTTAAAGCTCTTATTTTCATAAATTCAGAGGTCTTTGAACATTCAGGGATGTGAGCAGATCATCCCCAAAAGAGAGGAAAACTCTACGAGGGTCTTGCGCCATCCCCTCCCCCCCAAAAAACACCTTTTTGAACATTTGATTGCATTTTAAGCAGTTTCACACAGTTTGGACAACATCTACATGTAGTAACAGGGTAGTAAGTCAATGGTAAAAGTCAATAAGCCAAATAAAACAAACCTGGCAGATGCAGTAAAATTTCGAAGTTAAATCAGTACTTAAAAAAATTTAGCTTCCGCGCATCGTTTAACTCTGTTTTGACCCGCCGGGTCTGGAAGCAATACTGTCATAAACTTCACCCCCCATCCCAACTGTCACAAGCGTGCAATGTCTGACCCTTATCCCATGTTGAAGCATATTGAAAAAAACTTACCTTGTACTTACTTACCTTTTGTTGAAAAAAAACAAAACAACATTGCAAACATAAAACATTAACATGATTAATACAACATATATCCCTGTGTTATGGGTTTTCAGATGCTGAAGAAACATTCATAGTTTTCTCGCTAATCACATGAACAACTGTAAAACATCTCATTCAGTTATAGGCTAAAAGACAACTGTATCTTAAAAACAAGCCATCATCATATTTACAGTTTCTGTGTGACGCCACACCCCATGTTATAGTGCAAGTCTTCGTGAAAGAAAATGTATGATGTCCGAAAACCTATCATCTGACGATAATAGTAATGTGCCATGAATAATAATTAAGGCATATATATGATGCTGAAAGCTCTGATCGAAAACAGGACAATCTGCGACTGTTGTCTGTAAACATGATAATATTTTTCGGAGTATTTTTTTTAAAATCTTGACTATATTTTTATGTGGAAGATGATTTTTTCCGTGGACTACTGTTTGAAAAACGTGATTTTTCGCGTTTCCGGAGATTTCACATCCCTGATCACTGTATGTTAACATTACATTTAGTAATACAAAATTGAGCAATAAAGCATCTTCCGTTTTATTGAACCTGGTATCAATGACTTCAAGAACCTGATCATACCATGACATTAGATATAACAATATTAACATGGTTTGGAAATGTTTTGATTCCAATTTGGGAATAATTACTGGCATTTGCTGCAGATTGCCAACCTCTGAGCAAGTCGAGGTAAATTTCTGTCACAACACAAGGGCAATAACTCATCCTACCTGTGGGGTCATTAAGCCGTGCTCGGCTAGCAGGTCTCTTGTTGTTGTTAGTGGACGACCACATGGCGCCATCAGGGATCTTTCCGGAGCCAACACCAAGTGGTTCCTGGTACTCAGCACGGCATTCGTCATACTCATAGACATCACCTAGGTTACAAGAGAGGGGAAGGTCATATCTCCGTTGCATTGCTTCTATTCTCCATTTATACAAGGTGAGGTGAAATGGGGTTTAACGTCGCGTCCAAGATTATTGCACTTATATAGCGACGTGCATGTACATATGTGTGTTTGTGTGGCTGCTTGTACTAGTCCGGACTGATGCCGATTTATAGTGCTAGCTCACTGAGATACCATGCCGCAGTTTAACATGAATACCCCACTCAGACACAGTATACTGACTCCGAGCTGACCACTCCTTGTTTTAGCCCCTTTATGCCGAACGCCAGACAGGGTAACAACAAGTACCATCTTTTAACGTCTTTTGGTATGATGAGGCCGGGGATCGAACCCCGGACCTTCTGCTCTCCGGGCAGACACTCTACCACTAGACGACAGAGGCGGTCCCATTTATACAAACTTGACACTTGTAATGGAAATGGAGTAAGCATGGTAAGTATGTGAGTGTGTTTGGTTTAACTTTTTTCTGAACCATATTTCAGTTATATCACAGTGTGTCAGTTTAATGTGGGAGGAAGTGGCCTTGGGCTTTTTACCACATTTTCCCATGATCACAGTGTATGGGGCTTAGAAAAAAGTTTAATCAGGTGAATCTGGGATTCAAACTCATCATCATCGTTTTCTGATACATCTAGGGGACGCAACTCTACCACTCAAATTGCCACGCCTTGGACGAGTGAGCCACCTGTGCCTCCTTATGAATCATGAAAAGTAATACCTTTATGATAAGCAATGATGAGTGAACTACACACACTGACAGAACTGCCCTTACAAACACTGACAGAACTGCCCTTACAAACACTGACAGAACTGCCCTTACAAACACTGACAGAACTGCCCTTACAAACACTGACAGAACTGCCCTTACAAACACTGACAGAACTGCCCTTACTAACACTGACAGAACTGCCCTACAATAAGACATTTGATTTAATCAAAATAACGTACCTGCAGTATTTAAATGAAACAACATGTCTATGAGTTATCATCTGGATCACTCAGCTCCAATTTCTAATACACAGAGCTACTGATATGCAGCATATTTGTGTAAAATATCCCCCCCCAAAATATTCAAAACCCAATTACTTTCGATTAAATTGCATTGCATTAAATTAAAAACTCAAAACAGCTAACATAAATACCCAGTGAAGCTATTTCTGCATGTTCAGCATGCGTACAAAGGAGCTAATTTACTTCACGAGTCAAGCCTATATCATGTATATATTTAGAACAGTTATCATGGTTATATACATGTAAAACATGATTTCATTTTTGTAAAATCTTAAAATTAAAACTAATTTTGGGAAAAACCCAATAGACCGATGAGTAGATGAGTGAAAAGATATTGGTTACCCAATGAACAAACGCAATAACCCAATTAAAAAAGAAACCCCTGAGTTAAAACTCAATTACTCAAAAAATTATCTGGAGCTCTGAATACACTTTGCATAACACACAAGAGGCCTATAATCCCTGAGTTTCATAAGAGTTAGAGTCATGCTGAAGTCAGAGTTCACTCACACAGCTAACATGCATAATACTTTCTTCCATAACATGACAACTATAGGACAGTCATAAATCACACTTGACAACTGAACGTTTGTGAAACCTGAATGTCAAGAGTTTGAGGTTATGTGAATCTGAGAATCAAGAACATGACAATCATTAAAACCAATTTACAAGGTAACACTACCATAAATCTACAGATTAGCACTCTTTTCTTCATGTCTTTTTGGAGATACCGCTTCATTTCCGGGATTCGATTGACCCGAATCTCATGCTGAGTAACTCTACAAATATGCAGGAACATTTCCCGTCAAATGGCATATGCAGACAAATAATATACGTAAATATGTATTATGATGACAATAGAAAACACTTCTGATGACACCTAATAGCCCCCGCATGGCTAGATTACTTTTAAACGTTGTTAAACTAAGTTACATTGGAGTAAATAGAGGTAATCCGCCATTTTGGAATGTCGGTCATCACAGGTGCGAAATCACCTGTCAGGTAAAACTTGCAATCAACGAACAGTCAAAATACTTGGTGGTCGAATTACTTACGTGATCGTTCCGACACAGTTATATGAACCCATAGTGCCACTAAGGGCAGCGTATATTTCCACTTTAGAAACATTGTTTATAGGCGAATCCTCATGTTCAAACGCCTGTACCTGTCTTCTGGTCACGTGAAGCAAATGTGTCCTTTCATTGGATGATAACATGCAAAGGGAGACAGTACCAGGTAAGTTGACAATCACTTGACGTACCACTACAAATTGAAATAAAGATATTATTAGGCCATTTAAACAGTAACAAGGCGAGGTTGAGGTAAAACATCAGTTCTCGTGGAAGAATGTCAAAGAAAACATGTTTATGAGTGTACCAGAAAACAGGTTTTATTATAGTTAAGTTTTTTACCTGGTATTCCAAAACAGCATGAATTTTGTACACGATTATCCCATTCGTACGCGTTGAATACTGAGTCAGTTGGGTTTTACGTCGCTTTTAACAGTATTCCAGTGTATGAATACTTTTCAGTTTATCTGCGGTTACCGCATCCTCATCTGTACATCGTTCAGTATTAGTGCCTATATTCATTACACAGTATCTTGATATATCATTTGAGTTTCTATGGGGTGTATATGTAATTGAATGACCCATGAAGATCCGGGGTAAAATAGGTCTTCAGCAACCCGAGGTTGCCGTAAAAGCCGGCTATGCTTGTCGTAATCGTGAGGTGACTGACGGGATCGAGTGGTCAGGCTCGCTGACTTCGTTGATGCATGTCATCGTATCCCAATTGCGTGGATCCATGCTCATGATGTCAATCACTGGATTGTCTGGTCCAGACTCGATTATTTACAGACCGCCGTCACATAGCTGGAATATTGCTGAGTGCGGCGTTAAACAACAACCAAACAAACATGGTGGATACGACTCCCCGTTGGAAAAGCGTGCCACTCACGACTATGCGCTAGATAGATTTACAACACGTTTACATCTCCGATTGGATAAACAAATCATAAAATGATATAAACAATACATACCAACCGCTAAAAGACCCGCTTACCTTACAATCGTGATTGACTGATTGATTATTAAAATTATTATTTTGAAAGCAGAAGTGTCACTCAAACCATGATACAACGCACCATTAACCTTCCTGTAAGACCTGTTCAGCAAAAGTCATAAATATCACGATGGGAAACACCAGAAATATGTTTCACACATTGTACCCATGACGCTGAAAAGTATATTTACTTTTATAAGATCCTCTCTATAATATATATCACACTGTACATCTGTATGATAATGAAGGCTGTACATATATAAAACGGCGTAAGTTTACAAATATATTTTTTGACAAAGTGATATATTATTTACTTACTCAAGCTCAGAATATGATGTGTGATAAACACATTTGGTTAAGTTGCTTTCTAGATTCTTTTGAAGCCAATTTTGTTTCCGGAGCTTGGGAAACTATCTCCCCCCTCTTTATATACATAAAATACAAACTATAAGTCTAAAAAGTTACTCTTTTTGGATAACGTTTGTACCCGTCCAGAAATTTACCAGAAAGGATTTGTTATTGTTCTTGAGTTTTGAGAATTATTTGATTATTGACGAATAACTTCGTGACAGTAAAATTAAATAGGCAAAATAATAATCGTGTCTGGTCCAGAGAATCCAGTGATTGACATCATGAGCATCGAACCACACAACTGGGATACGATATGCATCAACCAAGTCAGCGAGCCTGAGCACCCGATCCGATTACTCGCATCTGAGACAAGCATATTCGCCTTTCACGGCAAGTATGGGTTGCTGAAGATCTGTTCTAACCCGGATCTTCACGGGTGATACAAATACATATACACAACATAGAAACTGAAATGATATATTAATATCTTTCTATTTTAAGCTTTTTTCTCCCTCTAAGTGTTTCCGAGATGAAAAAGGCGCGGAATAACTCCGTGAGTCATCGGTCCATTCGTCACCACTCGTGTCATTTCGGAAAAATGACGAATGCTTGTTACGGAAATACGCGAGTATATGCAATCGGACTTACGGAATATGCCGAGGGGTCATATCAGAGTGTTTGAAGCGTTAGTAAAATATTAACACCACAGTTAAAATGTACAAAATTATTTGGATGTAACGACGACATGTGTTTTCTGTCACGTTTACGCTGGTAGTGTATAGAATTTAATGTTTAATAGTTGTGCCAGTTGATAGATGTTTTACCATCGGTAGCACTGAAGTTAAACTCGGATCTTGAGCAAAACATTGTTTTTCATATATATTTGCCCTGATCTAAACCCAGATGTATTCATTCCGTTAACCCTCATATCGACATCTATCACAACACTATGGGTAGCATCCGAGGGCTTACAATCAAATAACCGATTAATCAAAGGTTTAACGGAACGTTTGTTTGTTGTTTTACTTCATAATCAGCAATATTCTAGTTATAATATAATATCCAAAATAATTATTGTTTGGCCATTTAATTACTTATTTCCATCTTGTTTGTATTATGGGCCTAGGGCTTAAAACACAGAATAAATTCTGTCGTCTACTACTACTACTACTATTATTATTATTATTACTACTAAAAATAATAATAATAACAATAACAACAACAACAACAATAAAAATAAAAACGCATATTAATAACGCCCCTAAACCATAACAGTTTGACACTGACCAGTTCATTATCGAGCCTGGACCAGACAAACAAGTGATTGATATTGTGAACAACGTCCCACACAGTCGGGTAACGATGACACACATTCTACCAAATCACCCAACCTGGCTGCCTGACTCAGTTTGACGCCTCTTACGACAAGCATAAGTTGCAGGGGACTAATTGTAACCTGGAATCACAACGGTGGAATAACATACCTCTGTATTACCTACATACGTTTATACGAAAATGCCATGGGCCACGTTTTTGATATTTTAGCCACAGCTGGGCATAATGAATGATTTTCTTACGCGCTGTCGTGAAAGAAAAATACGGAAGTTTCATTTTATATATAATATACGTGCCTCGTTATAAGATGAGATTACTGATTGGTTTAGATGTGTATACCCGTGTATACTTGTATTTCAGTTATAACACGACGTGCCAGCTTGATGTGGGGGAAAGCACGAAGTTATGCTGGTCTCAGACGTTTCCTACTTCGGGGAAACCCACAAGCACGGGTACGGTGCTGATAAATATAAACACATATTTAGTCAGAACCAGGATTCGAACCCACGATCACATAACAGGTGTCTGGCACTTCCAAGGGACGCAACTCCGCGTTTGCTTACTCGCCACTAATTATATTTCCACTATAACTACTACTAATGATAATGATACCACCATCACTGCCACCCCCCCACTACTACTACTACTACTACTACTACTACTACTACTACTACTACTACTACTACTACTCTTCGATGGTACTCCCTTTTGTGTGTAGATGCCATGGCGCTCAGAAACGACAGAGCGTATGAAATATCTACAACAATATAATGACGCATTCGGAACTTATCGTTTTAGTTCGTTTTCGAGATACAGAATTCAGATATCCTGATCTGAATGCTTCTCTCTCTCGTCAACGAGAAGTACCACGAAATCTCGACGCTGATTGGCTCCTCTGGAGGCTTCCTTAGATCTTCACGTAGATAGGTATCGTATCAGAGTAAAATGATCAGATTTTGATGAGATTGGCAATTTGGAGTCCACGGCATCTCGGAAAAACAATCCGTTGTCATCAGCTCATGAATTTATGAAGGAGTGCAAACCAACATTTCATTCAATGTGAAGGACACGACTCCTTCTCGAATCATGTCGATATTTTCTTTGGCTGTAGACAATTGTTACTTATATATATTTATAGAATTATTCCATTACTTGATGTACTACAAATACCCAGGGGCGTTAATACCGCTGACATCAATACCGCTTGCAAGCGCGCACCGCGATCTCTTAGGTTTGACGGCATCACGTGGTCAGGGCGTGAAAACTTGCCAACAGTAATGTAACCAGACATCAATACATGTTGTCAAATGTAAGACTCTGGTTTAAATACATTGCGTGCTCAATTAATGTGTTAAAAGCATTTATATTGTCAGAGACAATCGACCCACTTTATAAAAAAAACCCCGATAATGAATAGATGAAATGTTTTTGGAACTAATGCTTAGATACCTGTTTTCGTTTGGCGACATGTACACGTGACAGTAACAGGAACATTAGACACAGGTTCAGGGGGATATTTCAAGGTAAGCCAACTTTGTGAATATTTCCTAGGCCCTTGACTAGTTTTGGCACGGGTGTCCCTGTCGTGTAAGGCGCTGCAATTAGCTGTTGTGCTAGAAAGCTTTGATAGTGTGTTGGCTCTGATTGCTTCTAGAACAGCCCAACTTTTGTTCGTGGGTTTCACTGAGGTGTTGAAATAAGATCCGCGTAACTTCGGGTTTTCCTCCCACACCCATCTTCCCCAGGCAAGGGCGTCCACTAGCTTCTTTTTTTAAATCATAGTCTTGTGTAGAAGCTAGTCTAATGGTAGAGCGTCCGCCCGGATAGCGGAAGGTCCGGGGTTCGATCCCCAGCCGTGTCATACCAACAGACGTTAAAAGATGGTACTTGTTGTTACCCTGTCTGGCGCTCTGCATTAAGGGGCTAAAACAGGGACTGGTCGGCTCGGAGTCAGTATACTGTATCTGAGTGGGGTATTCATGTTAAACTGTGGCATGGTATCTCAGTGTGCTAGCACTATAAATCAGCAGCAGTCCGGACTAGTACAAGCAGCCACACTCACATACACGTGCATGCACGTCGCTATATAAGCGCAATAATCTTGGACGCGACATTACACCCCATTTCACCTCACCTCCCAACTAATATCCACTACTCCCAACTTCGTTTCAACTCATCCATTCCTAACCCCACTATCTTCATTATCTCCCGAGTGAGTGAGTGGGGTTTACGCCGTGTTTGCAATACACCAGCATTATCACAACGGGGGCACCAGAAATGGGCTTCACACTCACTACTCATGTGGGAATCGAACCCGGGCCTCGCCTTCAGCGAACGCTTTAACCACGAGGCTACCCCACCGCCCCCAGTCTACCTGAAGAAAGTACCTGTCCCATCTTCTCGACTACTTACCTACATCTTGCCCAAAAGCACGCCACCCACAAGCTACTGTCATCTTTTTCATCCTCATTAAATAGTTAGTAAAAGTACTCCCGAAGGATATACATACTATTCTTTTATAACAGTATCACCGAGCGTCCGTCAAACAAACGAGAACGTTTCTTCAATGGATACATTATTCTGCATCGCCGCCGCCACAACTCTCCTGCTCGCGAAGGGACAGTCTTATGACGACCTAGTCCGCCTGGAGAAGCAGCTGTTTCCGAACTACTCCTCCACGTGGAGACCAGTCAGGAACCACAGTCACGTGACAAATATCTCCATACAATTCACGATTGCTTCCCTTGTTTCCATGGATATACTCAACGAACAAATAGTTAATAAGGTAATTCTGAGCCTTTCGTGGTACGACCAATTTTTGGTCTGGAATTCCAATGAATACGGTGGAACTGAAAAAATTACCCCAAGGAGGGGGACCGTTTGGGAACCAATGCTACTTGTTCCAAATGCAATCCAACAATGGGATATGGCCGCTGATGCCACAGCTTCCTTGTCAGTTGGGAGAACCGGCCTGGTAATGCTTTTACTTGGAGGACCACTAAAAACTTCTTTTCCTGTGGATATGAGGAAGTTTCCCTTTGATACTCAGACCATATCAATAAGTTTGTACCCTGTCCAATACGATGAAAACGAAGTAGTGTTTTCAGTATCACAAGATTATGGCATTCCAGATAGTTTGAGGTCACACGGCGAATGGACAATTCAGAGTTCCTCCTTTGAAGCTGTCACGAGTGGAAACTATTGCGGTGTTGAGCTCCGCATGATAATCCAGAGGAAGCCCATCTTTTATATTTTATCCATTATACTACCCATCAGTCTCTTGTCCTTCCTCAACATGGTTGTGTTTGCAGTTCCGGCCGAATCTGGAGAGAAGTTATCCTTCTCGTTGACAACAATGCTCTCACTGGCTGTCTACATGAGTTTCGTCAGTCAGATAATGCCCAACAAATCTGTGCCTCTATCCTTCATGGCTGTATATCTTGCATCAGTTCTGTGTCTGAGTGCTCTTGCAATTTTAGCAACAGTTATAGTCCTTCGTCTGTACCACAAACCAGAAAGGGAAACGCCGCCATATTGGATGACCCAGATTCTGTGTGTAAACAAGGCTGCTTCTGAGGCTAAAGTGACGTACAGCGAAGTCAGCGCCAAACTGGACATTGTGTTTGGTGTGGTGTTCGGACTGCTTGCGACCTTGGCCGTTGGGACACAAGTTTATGTGATGCAATGAGATGACTGATGTGTTGATTTCTTCTCTGAGATTCAGGAATTGGTATGACGCGGCCGGGGATCTTCGGGCGGACGCTCTACCACTAGACCACGGAGGCAGTCTTGATGTGGGCGGAAAGCCCGAAGTATGCAGGTTACAAAAGCTTATCACTTTGGTGACAGCTACGAACACGGGTATGGTGCTGACAAACAGGAGCGAACGGGGCGAACCGGGATTCGAACCCACCATCATGGGTCGCAACTCTGCACAGCAAATTTCGACGACTGGGCCACGCGTGAACCCAATCACACAAGGAAAATGACACATAAACAATTTAAATCATCGGTTATCTTGGGTATAATATCCCCATTCTATACTACGCAAAAAAGTAGTGGATATTTGGACTACAGGAAAATACACCAATGTCTGTGAATGAAAGTAAGTGATTTGTGTGCCAAGAACATTTCCGAAGAAATCAAGTTCCCAAACACATCATTGTGACAGTCATTGTGGCTTCGGACAGCACGTGCTAGGGGTGGTATGCAAGATTTACCATTGTCACTCAGACCTCGTTGTGAGCAGACACATATTGCTTTTCTTGGAAGACACTTTATTAAACACATATAACCATTAACGAAGCAAATGCATTGATCAGGCAACGTTTGCAACATGCGGAACGTTTACGTGCCATAGGCATGTTACAGGTGTGAATACTGTTGCCCTAACGCTGCATGTTTCTCACTCTGTATCCGCAGATTGTAGGCCCGAGACCAACAAACACATAACGTCGAGGGGCGGTCGAGTAGCCTAGTGGTTAAAGCGTTCGCTCGTCACGCCAAAGACCCAGGTTCGATTCCCGACATGGTTAAAATGTGTGAAGCCCATTTCTGGTGTCCCCCGCCGTGATATTGCTGGAATATCGCAAGAATATTGATCTTCATGCGGAGTATGAGTTCATATTTTATCTTGGCAATTTGGAATACAAGGTATCTCGAAAATACAACCCGTTGGCCAGTTCACGCCCTGATGTAGGAGTACACATGACAGTCAATGTGAAGGACACGTGACGTAACCAGAATCATTTTAACATTTGCTTTTGTTCTATGCAATTTTTACTTATAGTATAATTATTCTATTAGTTGACGCACTTCAAATATCTAAGGACGTTAGCACCGTAACATCAATACCACTGGTTAGCGCACAGCATGATATATCTGCGTTGATGGTATCACATGGTCCGGCGTGTAAACTTGCCCACAGCACTGTAATCTGACATCAATACAAGTTGTTAAATGGAAGACACTAGTGTAAATACATTGCATGCTCAATTATAATGATAAAAGCATTTGATTGTCAGGAGTAATCGACCGACTTAATGATTAGAATGAAATGTTTTTGGAACTAATGCTTAGATACCTGTTTTCGTTTGGCGACATGTACACGAGACAGTAACAGGAACATTAGACACAGGATCAGGGGGATATTTCAAGGTAAGTCCACTCTGTGATTATTTCCTAGGCTCTTGACTATTTTTGGCACGGGTGTCCCTGTCGTGTAAGGCGCTGCAATTAGCTGTCGTGCGCCCGTGAGGGGTGCCAGAAACATTTGATCGTGTGTTGGCTCTTATTGCTTCTAGAAGAGCCATGCCTCTGTTCGTGGGTTTCACCGAGGTGTTGAAATAAGAACCGCGTAACTTCGGGTTTTCCTCCCACACCGAGCTGATACCCCGTGACTCCACTCTAAGTATATATCCTATAATCTTCACTTGTTGGGGCACAGGTGTCCCTGTCGTCTAGGGCGCTGCTGCAACGCTGTGATATAACTGGAATAATGTTCATAGCGGTGTTAAACCCAACTCACCCACCCACCAAGGGCGCTGCTGCAACGCTGTGATATAACTGGAATAATGATCACAGCGGTGTTTAACCCAACTCACCCACCCACCTTAGGCGCTGCTGCAACGCTGTGATATAACTGGAATAATGTTCAAAGCTGTGTTAAATCCAACTCACCCACCCAACTAAGGCGCTGCTGCAACGTTGTGATATAACTGGAATAATATTCAAAGCATGTTAAACCTAACTCACCAACCCACCTAGGGAGCTGCTGCAACGCCGTGATATAACTGGAATAATGTTCAAAGCGGTGTTAAACCACACCCACCCACCCACCCACCGAGGGCGCTGCTGCAACCCTGTGATCAAACTAGAATAATGTTCAAAGCGGTGTTAAACCCAGCTCACCAACCCAACTAAGGCGCTGCTGCAACGCCGTGATCTAACTAGAATAATGTTCAAAGCAGTGTTAAACCAAACTCACCCACCCACCAAGGGCGCTGCTGCAGAGCCGTGATATAACTGGAATAAATGTTCAAAGCATGTTAAACCCAACTCACGCACCCACCTTAGGCGCTTCTGCAACGCCGTGATATAACTGGAATAATGTTCAAGGCGGTGTTTAACCCAACTCACCCACCCACCTTAGGCGCTACAGTACGTTGTGATATAACTGGAACAATGTTCAAAGCTGTGTTAAAACCAACTGACCCACCCAATAGGGCGCTGCAGTACGCTGTGTTGCGTCCCTTAGGTCATGGGTTTGGCCCGATTGTTTCTAGGTTTGTCAGCACCATACTGCTGACGGGGGGTTTCACCGAGAGGTCAAACTAAGACCAGCGTCATTTCGGGCTTTCCTCCTACATCAAGTTGACATTCCGTGATATAACGGAAATACAATTGAAAGCGGCGTTAAGCCCCTAATATAAAAAACGTCAAAGCCCGAGAATAAAAATCATTGATTATCCGCCGAATTAGATTCTGTTGGGCGTAAAAGGCAAATAGGAGGCGAGAATTATATGAATGGCTGATACAAAACAGTGATGACATCGGATGTTCACGAAAAACTCCAACAGTGCGGATCGTTTCACATGCTTTTAACCGGCTGCTGTCATTTATCTGGAATACTAGTATTGCTGACTGCGGCGTTAAACGTCATTTACTCAGTGAATAGTATTGTTACCTTTCATATCTTCACAACTAATATTCGTTTCAAGCACCACCCCCCCCCCCCCCCCCCCCCCCCCCCAAGCCTCCACTCTTCTTTATCTACCGGTCTACCTGAAGGAAGTAGCTGTCTCATCAACTCGACTACTTACCTCTATCCCGCTCAAAAGTCCTTCTGCATCATCATCAAGGGTTTATCAAGTACTTCTTTTATTACAGTATTACGAACACACGAGAACGTTTCTTCAATGGATACATTATTCTGCCTCGCCGCCGCCACAACTCTCCTGCTCGCGAAGGGACAGTCTTATGACGACCTAGTCCGCCTGGAGAAGCTGCTGTTTCCGAACTACTCCTCCACGTGGAGACCAGTCAGGAACCTCAGTCACGTGACAAATATCTCCATACAATTCACGATTGCTTCCCTTGTTTCCATGGATATTCTCAACGAACAAATAGTTAATAAGGTAATTCTGCGCCTTTCGTGGTACGACCAATTTTTGGTCTGGAATTCAAGCGAATACGGCGGAATTGAGACGATTGCGCCTAGGAGGGGGACCGTTTGGGAACCAATGCTACTTGTTCCAAATGCAATCCAACAATGGGATATGGCCGCTGATGCCACAGCTTCCTTGTCAGTTGGGAGTACCGGCCTGGTAATGATTTTACTTGGAGGACCATTAAAAACTTCTTTTCCTGTGGATATGACGAAGTTTCCTTTTGACACACAGGTCATATCAATAAGTTTGTACCCTGTCCAATACGATAAAAACGAAGTAGTGTTTTCAGTGTCCCATGATGATGGCATTCCAGATAGTTTGAGGTCACACGGCGAATGGACAATAAAGAGTTCATCCTTTGAGGCAGTTATTCCGAGTGGAAACCGTTGCGGTGTTGAGTTACGCATGATAATCCAGAGGAAACCCATCTTTTACATTTTATCCATTATACTACCCATCAGTCTCTTGTCCTTCCTCAACATGGTTGTGTTTGCAGTTCCGGCCGAATCTGGAGAGAAATTATCCTTCTCGTTGACAACAATGCTCTCACTGGCTGTCTACATGAGTTTCGTAAGTCAGATAATGCCCAACAAATCTGTGCCTCTCTCCTTCATGGCTGTATATCTTGCATCAGTTCTGTGTCTGAGTGCTCTTGCAATTTTAGCAACAGTTTTCGTCCTTCGTCTGTACCACAAACCGGAAACGGAAACGCCGCCATTTTGGGTGACCCAGATTCTGTGTGTGAAAAAGGCTGCTACTGGGGCCAAAGTGACGTTCCGCGAGGTCAGCGCGACGCTGGACGTTGTGTTTGGTGTGGTGTTTGGATTGTGTGCAACCTTGGCCGTTGGGACACAAGTTTATGTAATGCAATTAGCTGAGTGATGTCTTGATTTCTTCTCTCAGACTCTGGAATCGGGATGGTTAACACCAGCTGTTAAAACCATGCAGCTTTTACCCCTCATCATGTTATTATCTCATTTTATCATGAGTAATACTATGGGCACATTCACCACCACAGCTTCATTTTAAGTCTAGTTCGAATGACATGACAAATATAGCCGTCTTATCAAGTTACACTGTTGAGCAATCAGCTATATGGTTACTTTGCTCGATTTGAGATTGCACGCTGTCTAAAAAACAACAACTGCGTATGTTATGCATCACCAATCACTTCCTTTTCGTGTCTTTTCCAGCTAAAAGTTCATTTAGAACTGTCTTAAGAAATAAATGGCTCGCTCGTACGAATTCATGAGTGACACTCTGGTTCTTCATTTCAAGGTCATGAGCGAGATTTGTGCAATGTTAGTGATAAGATGTTACTTCCGACGTGTTGAAGAGTATGTTCAGAGTATAAAAGAATATGGTACACTGCATCCTCGATATCAACTTCCCCGAGGCAAGGAGTTTACTGACTATAAAGGTCCAGGTTCCGCCCTTGCCGAACTAGGCTGGAATTTCCAGGCTCGATCGTAGCGCCACCGGTGGCTATTACGGGTTATGTCCCTTCTATGTCGCTCCTATTGACCAATCAGGTGCAATCTCTCATATCTCACTTGCATTTACTTCAAATAAAATGTCCAGTCAAGACGATCTGATCAATAATCAAGATCTATAATGTAATAAAACGGGTCATCAAATTACTTGAGCACCTTGATTAAAAACATCAAACGTTTTGGAAAATATCTGTCGACGTCTAGTTGAAGGTACACACACTTTGCAAATCCTACAGTCGACCGAAATCTTCAAGTTGAAATCCATGTTGTTTGCGAAATGGATGTCTAGTGCGTTGCGCGATTTTGATTGGACTCGTTAGTCCAGCCAAAATATAACTCTGGAATTCCAGCCAAGTTCAGCAAGGGTGGAAACTGGACTTTTAGAGTGAGTTAACACCCTTGTCCCGGGAAAAATTGCCTCTATCCAGGGCTCGCATTCCGGTAAATTAACACAAACCCCCGGATCCATTCCTGTGGCTCCCGTTCGCGATCTCAGATTACCCGCCCTTGGTCTTCGTTAACATTTTATAGACCAATCAAACGTCGAGACAAGGGAAAAAAGGAAACGGTAATGGGAGATAACTCGTTTTGCCATGTTGTTGATATCGTCAACCAAATATTGAGGCTGGTTTGTAACTCTAATTCTGATTGGTACTGGGTATTAGGCTGAGTAGGAAGCAAATCAACTTCGCTGTAGTAAATCAAGGGCGGGTAACTTGAGAATGGATCCGGGAATGGAACCAGGGGCTAGTGTAGGTTTACCAAAATAATATCCCTGGCGATTGTGAGGCTAGGCACACTGGATAATCGAGGATGTTTATCACTTTACCTTGTCGAACATGATTCCATTACTGATAAAAGAGGAACCAGGCTAGAGTCAAAATGGCATCAACAAAAAGAAACTAATTCATCAAATTGATGATTTATATCAATCTAGTGAAATAGATATGACTATGTAGATACAAAATATAACTTATTTATTCTATTTCAATACCATTTTTACAGATCTATAAATGTGACCGTCGCGTTTTTGGTCACCGTGTTAAGCCCATTGGTGTTCCCCCGATGTAATAAGGCTGGGATATTGCAAAAAGCGGGGTACAACCCAACTCACTCACTCATTGTTGGTCACGTGTCCTGAAGCTGATATACTATTTGATATGAAAAGTAGGTCACCTTGACCAACATAACATGCTCTTGCTGTGTTATTGTGTTAAAGCTGATAATTGCTCAAACTTAATCACTATTTTCCCTTAAATTTCATATGCTGCACAAACACTAACTGCTAAATGAGGATTACACTCAAATTGTTACATCGTGGATCCAAGGTCAAAGTCACGGGTTACATAATACTTACACAAACATATTTTAAACCTCATATTTATAAAGATCTTTGAATACTTGGCATATTAAAAAAATTGGCTTGTGAGTAACGGTTTCAGTTAAACTAGTTTTATTTATATGAGCACTTAAGGTCAAGGTCAATAGAGGGACATTTTCTGTAACATTTTATATTTTTGGCTGGAATGATGAAACTTGGTGTGTACATGTATCTTAGTAAACAGCTATCATTGATATGGAAAGGTCACCTTGCCCTTCTTTCCGTGCTCCCGCTGTTTATTTGTCAAAGTTAATAATTGTTGTAACTTAATGATTATTGCTACTTAAATGTTTATTCAATGCACACACTCTAACTACCAAATGAGGAATACACTGAAAACGTTATATGAACTATCTAAGGTCTAGATCATGATATAATGCTTACGAAAAAAAATTTAAACGTAACTTTAAAAAAATATTTGTGTAAAGAATAAGTAAGGATATTTTAAGAGTGCTTCTTTGAATATTTTATCCATCGCAAGGGGTCGTTACTCTGTAGTGTGATAATAGTTTAGACATAATTGGAAATGTTTGAGAGAACACCATTGTGAAATGGGGCGAGCGAAATAGTATGTTTTGCCATACAGATGACTAAGGCTAATAATCTGCTAAGCGCTTGACTCACGCAAAAATAAATTCAAACCGATGTTTCTGTAGATATTGACTGGATTTTGTTCAAACTTGGCATATTTGGCCTTTCGATGGAGAACTCGGATTGCTATGGTTGAGCAATAAATGGACACCAACAGTTGCACATGTGTCACCACCCCTAGTGTCACCACATGAATACTTGTTTTCCAAAACACATATTTTTCCCAAACAGGTTTTCAAGAGCACAAATGTATAGCTTTCGGTGAAGAGATATCAGATAACATTTGGCACACGAACACTTGCAGTTGCACAATAGGAACACTAGAGATTGCACTATCAAACTTTAGTGTTAACTTTGAAATGAACGTATACATGTAACTTAATGTACTTAAATTTTTCCAAAGAAATATTTTCTAAACAATATTTGAAAAACACAATTGCACAACTTTCTAAAGTGAGGTATGAAAATATAAGCCCTAGTGTCATCATGTGGATACTAGCGGAGCACCTACCTTTAGTGTTAACTTTTGAAATGAATGAATTCCAAGTGTATTTTCCAAAACAAATATCAATTTAAAACAACAGAGATATTAAATCATTTAGGGTCAAATGAACACTAGCGGTCGTAAATATAACACCTAGTGTCGCCATATGAACACTAGCGGTCGTAAATATAACACCTAGTGTCGCCATATGAACACTAGGTGTGTGAAATGGATGAATAATACCTTTCCTTAGCTGTTGTTCTTGTTGGGTTTTTTAAAAATATTATTTTGAAAACGGTTTTCAAAACCTCAGTCGCACGACATTATATACGGAGATAAAATATCATTTTGGGCAAATGAACACTAGCAGTGTCACACAGTGTTACCATATGAACGCTAGAGATTGCAATATCAACTCTTAGCGTTAACTTTTGCAATGAATGCTTAATTACTTAGTTTATTTTCCAACACAAATATCATTTTTTAACAGGTTTTCAAAATACACTTGCATAACTTTCTAAACAGAGATATTTGATCATTTTGAACCTCGTGAGATTTAATGCTTGATCATGAATGGTACCAATGTCAACACCTGGAACTATACATATTCTGTAGAGTCGCGGTTTAAGTTTTCTCCATATTATTGATATTTTTATATTATATGGAGAAATATAATTTATTTAGTAAGAGAGTATATGTTTCTTTGCTGTTTAACGCCGCACTCAGCAATATTCCAGCTGTATGACGGCGGTCTGTAAATAATTGAATCTGGACAAGACAATCAAGTGATTGACATCACAAGCATCGATCAACGCAATTGGGATACGATGACATGCACTGTCAGCCGGCCTGACCACCCGATCTCGTTAATCGCCTCTTACGATAAGCAAGGGATGCTGAAGGCATATTCCAACCCGGATCTCCACGGGCCCAGTAAGGGAATAAAATTTAGAGGTACAGGATTAACGTCATGATCATTTCAGGGTGACCTGTTCGTGTCTACGCCCGTTCGTGCGTGCGTGCATGCTTGCGTGAGTGCTGGAGTGATGTGTTTGTGTGTGTGTGTGTGTGTGTGTGTGTGTGTGTGTGTGTGTGTGTGGTCGTGAGGGTGGGCAGTTGGCTGTGGCGTGGTGGGATGCTTGGTTCATAAGGCATGTGTGTATTTCACAGGGTACGTGACAAGGTAGCCAAAATTGTATGGATAATAACTTCTTTAATACTGTAAAAAGCGACGTTTCGGTATAGATCCTTATACCGTTGTCAAGCAAGACAGAATGAGGGACATAGTACAGAATATATATAGTAGGTGGAGGATTAACAGTATTTAAGAAGTGGTTATCCATAAAATTGTGTCTACCTTGTCATCCGTCACCTTCTAAGTAATGCCTATCAAACAATTTACAGGGTACGTGGTTGAAGATTATAGGTTTGAGTGATGTTTGCTGCATGTTGCAACCAGTGACGTGACCGTTCCTATGCTCTCACTTAGACCTACACACAGCATGGCTGTCAGAAAAGTCTAGTGTGAGAACTTTGTACATTATGTATATCTGTGTCACAGTACTGGATATTTCATCTTGCCATAGAACAGTGTATATTGTTTAAAAGGCCGGTTAAAAACTGGCGGTAAAACACGTCACTAAACGGAAATGCTGTGCGTTAAAAGGCGTACCCACCCCGGACTTGTACAAGCAGCCACACACACACACATGCATGCACATCCCTTATATAAAATCCCCAAATCACCTCACCTAGTATAGGATATCCATAGATTGGCGGGAAGCATGAAAAGTGAAATGACTTACCACGATAAAAAATTGTTGTCAAAGGATTCAAGGATTCAAATCTTTTTAAGATTTTCATCAAGGCGTCTTTCAAGCTTGGCCAACATCGTAATACCAGGAACAAGAAGCCCTTACTTTAGCATGGTAAA